TTTTTGGTACCGGAGATCGAACTCAGGTCCTTGCACTTGCGCAGCAGGTGGCGAAACCACTGAGCTACATCCCCGGCCCCTGGAAGTCTTCTTTCATGAGTATATTTAGTTGTACTGTTGGGGCTGCCTCAATGTCCTGAATTCAAAACATTTTGAATTCTGGAGAAGAGACAGAAGTTGTATGATGCCAGATCTGGTGGATAAGGTAGATGAAAACACACTGTAATACTTTTAGGAGCTTGCCTTTCTGTTGGATGACAACCGGCAGCAGCATTCACCTGTTTTTGATCATATCACATAAAGACAAGAAAGAAGACTTCCAAAACTGCTTCAGGAAATGGCAAGAACAATGGCATAAGTGTGTTCACAGCAAGAGGGAGTACTTTGAAGGGGACAACTGCAATGTGTCTTTGACTGTAATAAATTTTAAATATTCACCATATATTTTGTTCACTCCTTCATTGTAATATTGGTGGCCAGACAGTGAATATACGAATAAAATGGCTCAGTTTAGTGTTAGATGCTCTGAAAACAACACAGGACCACAGAGAATGACCAGAGGAGACTGAGAGCATGTAATTTAGCAATGATAGTCACAGAATACAGTAAACCAAAACTAAAATGAAGATAAGGTAGGAGTTGGAATTGTATGAAGAAAACATACAATCATACAACACATTTTTCTGATGGAAAAATAGTTCAAGCAGTATAAATACTAACTACAAAAGCTTTAAAAAGGAATGGGCTTGATACGTTGTTACAAGTGCATGAGGGAAAGCCAGGTGTGGTGGCGCACTCCTGTAATCCCAGCATTTGAGAGGATGAGGCAGGAGGATCTCTGCAAGTTTGAGGACAGCCCTGAATGACCCAGTGAGATCCTATCTCAAAAAACAAAACAAAAAAACCAACAAGTGGATGAGAGAGAAATGTAATAAAAGAATAAGCAGAGGTTAGACAACATAATGTCTTATAGATTATAACAAGTTTCAATTTAATTCTAATGGCTTTGGAGAACCACTGCAGGATTTTAATCATAAGGGAAAGAAGGATACAGCTCAGTGTGAAGGCCACGGGCACAATCTCCAGTATGATTAAAAAAAAAAAAAAAAAAAAAGAAGTAGAATATAAAGAAGTTCAGAGACCAGTGCAGTAATCCAAAGCAAAGATTCTAAAGGAACACAATGTATTTTAAACAATGAAGATGAAGATAAACAAAGGTCATTTGGGGGTATATTTTGGCAGTAAGAGCATTTGTTGGATAAGGGGGATAAGGGAAATAAAGGAATCAAGGACTTTGACTCATGTGATTCATTACGAGGCTTTTAAAATACCTCTCAAACTGGGCTGGTGGTGCTCATCTGTAATCCCAGCACTCTGCCAGGCTGAAGGAGGACCACAAGTTCAAGCCTAGCCTGGGCAACTCAGTGACTTAGTGAAACCCTTTCTCAAAATAAAAAATAAGAAGGGATGGGGGATATAGCTCAGTGCAAAGGCCCTGGGTTCAATTCCCAGTACTGCCAAAACATAAAATAAAAAATTATTCCTTCAGTCTGTTAGAAGAAATGTAGAATATGCATCTGGATATACAAGGAGTGATGGGGGTGGAGGCCAAAAAGAACTAAGAAAAGGAAGATGTGGTGTCACAGATGGTTGTGAAGAAAGTCATTCGAGAATGAGATTAATCTACACCAAAATGTTCTTATAAAAAGCAGTGAGACAAGATCACAACAGATACATTTTGCATGTTGATAACCTTGATAAAAATTATTTTAGACACCCTAGCCAACCTTAAAACACAAAAACTATCAAAACTTACTAACCATGTAGACCAACATTCTTGATATATACTTTAGAGATTTTGCTTACTCATTAAATGATCAAGGTCCTGATAAATTCAGAGCTCTGCCTGAGCAACTTAGTGAGACCATGTTTCAAAATAAAAAAGGGCTGAGGATACAGTATGAAGGCTCTGAAATCAATCCCTGGTAAAACTAAAAGAAAGGTTCATGAATAAAAAAGGGCTCATGTATTACTTACTCACTGTTATGCTCAGATTCTTTTAACTAATTTATTGCATTTCAGCTATATGTATATTAAATAAGGGCTCTGACCTACCAGAGAAAAAATAATTCCTAATAGCCTTCATTCCAAAATTGTAAAAGGAATAAAGGTTAAGAACAAAACTAAGACCCTATCTACTAAAGAACCTTAAATGACAGCATATATGTGAGAAAATAAACAAACAGAAGAGAAAAACTAGTCTAAATATCCCATTCTATTAACCCCAAACAGTAGCCCATACTACAAAGGCTATTACTTAAGAGAATAATGTAATACTCCACCTTTACTTGTCGAGCTTGGCTGATAACACATGGAAGACTAAAAAGTTGTTGGACAAAGGCCTTCAATTCTTCTACTGTCAGCTTGGTCCGAGTTCTCCCACTATCTGGGCTCTGCCTAATGTGAAATAATATTGAAAGATAGTAAGAAAAAGTTCAGTCATTCTGATATAAAATGGGGTTCTTACCTACTCTCTTCAGAATTCAAACCTAAGTAATCTAGAATTCTAATGTTTGAGGGATTCCACTGCAGTGATAATCACTTCAAAAGATTTTTTAAGTTCCTAACTTAATGACTCAAAGATTCAACTCTCTAAGTCACAGATCCTCCAATCTATAAGGGCTAAAATATTTCAAACATTAAATTTCCCCAGAGTGAAATATTAAGTTCATTAAACTAAACCTTGGTTTGTTTTTTGTTTTGTTTTGCCTTTTTCGGTTTCCTTGAGACACTCTGTAGCCCAGGCTGGACTCAAACTCCTGATCCTCTTGCGTCAGTATCCCAAGTACTAGGACTATAGACTTGTGCCACCACCCCAGACTTAAATCCTGTGAAAAAGCATACAATTTGGGACATAGGCCTTTAGTTTGCCTTTGATTAATTAACCCTCTGAAACTTTTCTAAAATCGTGTCTATATATTATACATTTTTCTAAAAGGGTCCTTAAACTTTAACTAGATTCTCCAAGGAGCTCAGTGATTCAACTATAAGTTAAGAACTACTAGACAGGGCCAGGGATTTAACTCAGTGATGCCGCCACCTGCCTCGAAAGCACAAGGTCCCAAGTTCGATCCCCGGTACCAAAAAAAAAACCACTCCTTAAACAGCCTCCTCTGCATCCATCAAAGTTACTCTTTGCTGTCACCTCCCTTCAACCTACAGTATCACTTATTTATTTGAAATATTTATTGTGTACTACTATGTGCCAGGAATTGTTCTATGTAGAAAAATATAGCCATGAAAATAAGGACAGAAATCCTGGACATTCTAATTTAGTGTACATTGTCATGGAGGTGAGGAAGAAGGTAAGAGATGACGATAAGTAAATGAGTATAGCAGAAGGTGACAGAGAAAGAAGAAAAACAAAGCAGGAAGAAGGATAAGATGGTTACAATTTTATAAAAGGTTTTCTGAAAAATTTTCTTCAAGAAAGTGACACTTAAAAGATTTGAAAAAGGGAACAAGTCACCTGGATAGTGGGAAGAGAAATCCAAGCAGAGTGAAGGATGAGTGTGAATGCCCGGGGGAGGAGGGCTGAACAGTACATATGAAGAACAGCCAGGAAAAGGGCATTGGAGAGTGGAACAAGAAAGAAGGGAGAGTTCTTTGAGAAAGAAAAATGTAAAATTAGAAATATGACTCCCCTTAAAAAGTGAATCAATTCTAATAAAAGGTAGATTATACAGCAAACCTCTTCAACACAAAATACTTTATTCAGATCCTATGTTATTAAATATTTTGATCTGTTCTATTAAGAAAGTTGAATTTGGGATCTAACTAATGAAAAAAAGAGCCCTGGTTAGCTACTATCAAGTAAGATGGATAGTCTGAACTGAGGTTAAAATTAACTATGCTCTTTTCTCTTCTACAAATGATGTACTTCCCTGTGGGATTCCTTCCTACTATTCATTGTGAGGAAAGGATACTACTGCTTTCCAGTTGTCTACAGGTATCTGCTTTACTCATATGCATCTCAGGACTTATGAACCATGTTTCAAAAAATCTTATTTGAAAAGTCATAAAACATGTCTAAGAAGGGCTGGGGATTTAGCTCAGAGGTTCCGCCACCGTCCTCGCAAGTGCAAGGTCCAGAGTTCGATCTCTGGTACTAAAAATCAAAACAAAACAACAAACAAAACATGTCTAAGAGAGGGAGATAATGCCACCTCATAAACTGTACATCCTGTTAATTATTTCAGATATGCACAAATGTAAAATAAATTTTGTGCGAGATTTTTGGGGTTTTTTGTTTTGTTTTGTTTTTTGGTTTTGGTTTGTGGTAACGGGGACTGAACTAAGGGCTATATCGCCAGCCTGTGTTTTATTTTTTAAAAAAAATTTTTTTTTTTTTTTTGGTACCAGGGATCGAACTCAGGACCTTGCACTTGAGAGGCAGGCAGCGGAATGACTGAACTAAATCCCCGGCCCCTGTTTTTTATTTTTTGAGATAGGGTCTTGTTAAATTGCTTAGCCTGGCTCCAAATCACAATCCTCCTGTATCAGCCTCCCAGAATGCTGGGACTACAGACTTGTGACATTATGACCAGAACTGAGTTTTAAAAAATTATTTTCCTGCCTGAAATGGATGTACCTTAGACAATAACGTTAAGTGAAATAAATCAGACATACATGCTCAAATATCATGTAGTTTCTCTAATATGAGAAATCCAAAGTATAAAGAGCAAATAAAAGACAGGTAATTGGAGCTGGGCATGGTATGCATGCCTATAGTCCTAGCAATTGGGAGGCCAAGCAGGAGGTTGCTGCAAGTTCAAGACCAACCTGAACTGTACTTTTTTAAGACTCTGTCTCCAAAAAAAAAAAAAAAAAGGGTAAGTAATTGGAAACAGAGAGATCTTTTTTGCAAGAGATGGAGGGAAGGGGGAAGGAGGGGCAAAGACAGGAAAGTAAAAAGAATTAAGATGTGTATGTATTGTAACAACTTCTCACGATGAATACAATCATTATGTACTATAAACATGTACTAATAAAAATTTTTAAATTAAAAAATAAAAATTATTTTTGTACTTAAAGCTAGGTCTTTGTCCCATAGACACCATACAAGCTTCAGTGTGGTTTCTAGCATTGGACATAACAAATCTGTTTGTTACCTTCCTGGTGCAGCTTTTATAACTAACTGGAACTACTGTAGTTTAAACAGCTTGTCACAATTCCTGAACCACTACCCCAGAAAAGAAGGACTGATAGTGGCAGGAGATAAGACTAGGGCATTATTAGGGAAGGGAGAAACATGGTAAAAGAAATCAAAGATAATCTACAGTCTCATTGGCTAGTTACACCTCCGTGGAAATCACTGGGGAATTACACTCTTCTTAGATTTACCTGTGTTTCTGCTTTTTGCTCAGAAGCAGCTGGGCCACAGAAGCACAAGTCTCAGCTTCTTTTACAGCATCCCTAAGCTTTCGAAAGAGATCATTTTCGGGATATTTCCTATCCTCAGCATCTTCCAGCATTACTCGCATTTCAACCAAATCTGTAGAAATAAACAAAAAGCCATGTATTACGACTATGACCCTTAGGACAAAAAGCCATTCTAAAATCTTCACCAACCTCATCAACCTACTAGTACAAACATACTGCAGTTGTAAAATCTCCCCGATGCAAAGTTTCTGATCAGCCACCCATTCCTAATGCCAATACTTGATTTCTCTTAGATAAGGCCATTTCTCTTTTAAAAACCTTCAGTGGAAGTCCAGTAACAGCAACGACTCCCTAAAATATACATCCACTGCAAGTTATCTGTCTCATTTTATGTCAGATTTTTCACTTAAAAGATTCTCAGAGAAAATTAATCTGTCATGCAACCCTGGCTTGGAGCCAGCTGAGTATGGACTGAAACTTCCACAAACTGTGAGCCAAAATAAACCTTTCCATCTTAGAGTTGCGGGTTTTGAGAACTGTGTCTCAGTGACAAAAAAAAAAAGTAACTAACACACAACCTGTTCATTAGTCTCAAATCTCATATGAGACCTATTTTTTCTTAAAGGGGAAAAAAACCAAAATTAATAAACAAGACTTTTTTCGATAGTAAGGGAAACTGGACCAGGGGGTTAATACACACTAGGCAAGTGCCCTAACCCTGAGATACATTCCTTGCCCCCCTGTTTGGGGGGGGGGGGCGGTAAAGAGGTCTTGCTAAATTGCTCAGGCTGCCCTCAGCTTATAATCTAACTGCCTCAGACTCTCAAGTAGCTAGGATTACAGGCATCCACCATTATGCCCAACTAGGATCCTTTTAAAGTGACAATAATTTCAGTACATGCATACAAAAGAGGAAACTTAACCTTTCTTGTGGTTGAAGTTACCAGATAATGCTTCTGTAACACGACTGACCCAAGTGTCATAGGATTGTGCCCTGACTTTTACACCATAAAGAAGAGAAGGGAGATCTTCTAACGGGTAACGATATCTACAAAAAACACAGAAATAAAAAACTTCAAATTCCAACCACTTAAAAAAAATTGAGTTTTAAGTACAGTCACTTTAAGAACAGGTACAATGATAAGGGGAATGGGATCTTAGTTTACAATAAGAGAAAATCAAAGAAGCTCACAGTTTTAATTGTGAGACGAAGAACATCTGGAATTAACTGATAAAAATTAATTGCAGCTACCACGCTAAGGGCCAATTTTAAAGGACTGGTCCTCAAGCAGGAAAGCTGATAGAAAAGACATTCCAGTTCAGGGACAGGGAAGGTGTAACTACACCATTAACATATATTTTTTAAAGGTAATGGAAGTTTTACAGGATACCTAAGACATTTCTTCTGCATGGGGCAGAGGCACAGATCAGTTGGATGGTAGAGACATACAAGCCGCTCAGGATTACAGGAGCATGTGAGAGCAGAAAGAAAACATGTGGTTCTACATGCTGAACACTGTCGCTCATCATCTGGAACAAGTTCAAACACTTCTTCTTCTGACATCAGGACACCCTGAAATGAAATTTACACCACCAGATCAATTCTTTTTTTTTTTTTTTTTTTGTACCAGGGATCGAACTCTGGTCCTTGCGCTTATGCAGCAGGCAGCGAAACCACTGAGCTAAATCCCCGGCCCCTAGATCAAGTCTTTCTTGTCTCGAAAGTATCAACGACCCTAAGTTTTATTTTTCTACAGGTATACCCCTGATTTAAGGCATAAATATGAAAGCCACAATGACAAGACATGAAAATACTTTCTGAAAATAATCATGACTAATCTTTAAAAACAGGCAAGACTAAACTTTAGGGTTTAAGGATACACATTTGAGTGAAAAAACTATGAAGAAATGCAAGAAAGTAGGTACTACAAAGTCAAGATAGTTTTTTGAGAGGAGTAATTTTAATGAGGGGATCCTTTGGGGATAGCTGACAAATTTATATTTCTTGACTTGAATGGTAATGACAAGAAGGTTTACCATGGAATTCATGAAACAGTCTGTATGTTTTATGTGGTTTTCTTTGCCTTCTCCTTAAAACAATATAACAAAATTTTTAAAAATTAATGCCCCAGGGATAATATATACCCTTGAATAAGAAAAATTAGTAATATACCAAACACATACAAAGGCAAGTATACCTAACCAAGTTACCTAACATGGAAATCAAAATACTTTAGCAAAATGTCAATAAAATAAAATTATTTAACCAAACTTAGATGCCAGTTTAGGAAAGAGTGTATAAAACACACTTTAAGAAGACTCATTCACTCTATAAAAGTTCCCTTTACAGTTTCTGTTTATCTGAGCAAGGAAATTGTAAACCCAATTCTTCTAATATTAGCAAACTTTTTTCACTTCAGGAAGAAGCTTGATTATTCATCCACCAAGAGACACAATCCAATTCATTCATCATACTTATTCTTTTTGATCAATTTAATCTAGACGTTTGCTAGCTATACTCTCCATTTTCTCATATTATCATGTTGTATTTTCTTTAAAAATTATTTTTATGCAAAAATGTCCCAAAATGAGTGTTTCTTCATTTACAAGAATTTTCATGACTGCCAGGTGTGATTGTGCATGCCTGTAATCCCAGCACTGTGGAGCCTGAGGCAGGAGGATTACCTAGAATTTGAGGCCATAATGAGTTCAGGGCCAACCAGAACTACAAAGAGAGAACCTGCCACAAAAAAAAAAAAAAAGAGAGAAAAAAGGAATTTTCATGGCTTCAGAACAGCTGGAAAATACAGGACACTGATGTGGCAACTAACAGAATTCTGGCTGCTTCAAGAAAGTCTATACCATTTCATAAAGTGTTCTCATTCCAAGGACCACTAAACCTAAGATAATTTGAAAAATAAATTTCTATTTTGGAAAATGCTACAGATTAGTTTCCTCTAATGTTAGAGATTAACAATGAGTACCAGCATATTTTAAGGGATCAGAAGTTATGGAATAAAGAACTCTATCTTTTCCTAATCCACTAATTCGGCCAATTTCTAACCACAGGACAATTTTTTTTTGTAATACATTTTACATATTCTAAAGCTTACATCTCTGAGACTACACTTTGGAAAATCAAATTATCAGGAGGAAGTAAAGAAATGAACCAAAGATACAAATTCAAAGGCCATTCAAAATAATCCAGATGAGAAATTAGGAAAATAACTTGCAAAAAGGTGGTGGAAGAGGAGATGACATGCTATTTTCACATGGAAAAACAGGACAAAAAAATCTATGTAATAAGCATGTGGAAATAGTTTATAGACAAGTGACTGAACATATTGCCTCATTCACTGACAATACTTCCTGTGTTTGTAACATAACAAGAGGGAGCACTAAAGGTAAAAAATTAAAACCTTGCTGGGCGTGGTGGTGCACACCTGAAACTCTTGCACTGGAAGGCTGAGACAGAAGGAATGCTCTGAGTTCAAGGCCAGCCTGGGCTACATATTGAGTTCAAGGGCAACCTGAACTATGAAGTGAGACCCTGTTTCAAAAATAAAAAGAAATTAAAACCTCACTGGGTGTGGTGACACATGCCTGTAATCCCAATGCTCGGGGAGGCTGAGACAGGGAAGATCACAAGTTTAAGCCTGGGAATTTACCTACTTAGAAAGACCCAGTCTTAAAATTTAAAAATAAAAAATACTGAGGATGTATCTCGATGTGAAGTCCCTGGATTGAATCCCCATACTGGAGGGAGAGGGGAAAAAAGAAGTAAACCACAAATTAGGGCTGAGGATGTAGGTCAGTGGTACCATGCCTACCTGGCAAATGCTAGGCTGAGTTTGATTTCTGGTTCTGAAAAAAAAAATAGCTCAGAGTTTAAATTCTAAGGATGGATGAGAATTCCCTTAAAAAGCAGCACAAAAGGAGACCAAAACAAAAAAAATTAAAAGGCTGACTCCTAAAAATACTGGCAGTTGAGAAGAAAAAAAAGTTGACTGGAAATAATGGGCAAAAATGATCAAATAGGGCCGGGGATGTAGCTCAGTGCCTGCCTGGCAAGCACAAGGCCTTGGGTTCAATTCCTGATACCGAAAAAGAAAAAAAAAAAAAAAAAGGTCAAATAGATTGGACCAAAAGTAAAGTATATGTTAATGAAAGAAATCAAGGAAGCAATATACAGTGCCATGAAGAAGTAACTGGGATTAGAAGATGAGAAAAAAAATTCACTGGACTTAGCAATAAAGTTGTCATTAGTAAACTTTGGAAGTTTCAAAAGTATGATGGCAAAAAAACCAGTGGTAATGAAGGGATAAACAGAAAATAAGAGCACAATCCAAAAGAAAACAATTTTTTTTAAAAAAGGAAAATTACTCAAGAAGTTTTTTAGGAAAAGATAAGAAGAAAACTTTTCTCAAAATAAGAAAGACAAGCTCAATGGCAGAATAAGTATCTGGAACATGGGCAGAGGAAAGGGAAATTTAAAGGGAAAGGGCCTGTAGTGAAATGTGATTAAGGTATCATAGCTCTCTTTTGTTTCTTTGGAGGAGCTCCAGTTTTCACCTCCACCTTAGACATCTGTCTCCTGGCTTCCAGCACAGACTCTTCAGCTTCCTGATACAGACCTGCATGGGACTCTACGGTCTTTGGACTCTGACTGAGTTATATCATCAACTTCTCTGTTTCTGCATCTCGCAGATGTACTATGATGGGACTTTTCAGCCTCTATAAGCAGACATTTCTCAGACAAAGAAGTAAAACCAGCAAATAAACACATGAAAAAATGTTCAACATCACTTGTCATTTGACAGATGCAAATGAAAACAACACTGAGATTCCACCTTACCCCAGAAAAAATGGCTGCTATCAAGAAATCAACCCATAAAAAATGTTGGCAGGAGTGTGGGGAGCAAGGAACCCTTCTCCATTGTTGGTGGGAGTGCAGACTGGTGCAACCACTGTGGAAATCAGTATCGAGACACCTCAAAGAACTAGGACTAGAGGTCCCATTGGACCCAGCTCTTCCCCTGCTGGTTATCTTCCCAAAAGAATTAAAAGAATCATACCACAGTGATGTATGTGCACCTATGTTTATTAGCGGCACAGTTTGTAATAGCTAAAGTTTGGAAACAGCCCAAGTGCCCATCAACTGGAAACTGGATAAAGAAGATGTGATATTTTTTATAAAATGGAGTACTACTCAGCCATAAAGAACAAGAAACTAGAGACATTTATGGCTAAATGGATGCATATTGAGGCCATACTCTTAAGTGAAATCTTTAAGATTCTTTCCAACTCCAATACTCTGTATTGTAATTTATTAGCTATCTAGTTCTCACTTAAAATTTTACCTACTATATCCTTACTAAAATTAATCCTTTTTTTCTTTTTGAATTAGAATCTTTTAGAGTGCTGGAATAATGCCAGGAGAAATCACTGGGAAAACACCCCGCACTCTTCAGAGCAGGATAACTGGGGCATTGATGGGGAAAATATGGACTTCAACTTCTGTCCCATTTCATTTAATCTGTTAATAGCCCCTAAAGTTTCAAACAATTTGGATAATCTTTATGGATGGAGTTGGAGGTGTCAGTAGAAGAAATCTCAGAGAGCTAACGGCATTTTCTAAGCACTTATTCCCAGTAAGTGTTTAGCCACAACAGAGAGGCAACTCAGAAACTCTTGGGACTTAATGGGTTCACGAGAAAAATAATTTGGAAATTTGTTTTTATGCGTTAATAGTAATCACTGTACCCATCAACTAGACCCAAATTCAAGTAAATCCTAATTTTGGCTTCATACGGGATGTTTTAGGGAAATAAATGAAATACGTATAGCTAGCCACTTTGTGAGATCTAGTCAAATTAGCAGAGTGCACAGACAATAGAGAACACGAAAACTTTGTATGTACATAAGCCTGCAGTCATGAGAACATAAAACAAATTAAATATTACAAAAAATGCTAGTATGGTATAGAGAGAATTAACATTATTCATTGTTTTCAACACCATGGTTTACTGTCCTTTTCTGCCACTATGGAATTTTTGTTTTCTTTTCCCTAGATACTGTATTAATCTATTTCTAAGACATTACAATTAAGGACCAAGATTTAATTTTACAAACGCATAACAGGCATGACATTAAGCACAGACTAACTACTGCTTTATGTTCTACAACTCAAACATTGATTACTGTAGCTCTGTTAAGAACTGAATTGTGCCCCCCACACCCTTCATATGTCGAAGCAAAGCCCTAACTCCCAAAGTGATGTGACTATATATGGATATAGGGCCTTTAAGGAGGTAATTAAGGTTAAATGAATTAATAAGGGTGAGATATTAATGCAATCTTGTTAAGAAAAAAAATAGAGGCATCAGGAGTTTGGAGGGAGGGAAAAATGGACGGAGGGAGAGACAGACACAGACAGACTGAGACCATGCAACTCTATCTGCAAGCCAAGGAGACAGACTTGACCAGAAACCAACCCTGTTGGCATGTTGTTCATGGATTCCCAACATCTAGAACTGAAGGAAAATAAATTTCTATTGTAACATTAAAAAAGAAAAAGGCATCATGAAAACATGGTAAAGGATAAGGAAATGTGATACATATTCAAAGTATCATAAATATAATGTCCCATTATCTGGGCATAGTAATACAGGCCTATAATTCTAGAATTTGGGAGGATAAGGAAGGAGGATCATGAGTTCAAACCCAGCCTGGGCTATAGCAAGACCTTGTCTCAAAAAAAAAAGCCCCATTAAAAACGCAGATTGACGGCCAGGGATTTAGTTCAGTGGTTCTGCCGCCTGCCTGGCAAGTGCAAGGTCCCAAGTTTGATCCCTGGTACCAAAATAAATTAAAAAAAAAACAAAACAAAATAACTCAGATTGAATCTGAAATAAGAAATATATCAAAAAGCTTACTGCATAAGTCTCTACCAATATATTTAAATTTCAAAATTAAAAATAAATACAATGTACTTGCATCGCAAGCGCAAGGACCCAAGTTCGATCCCTGGTACCAAAAATAAACAAACAAACACAATGAGAAAAATCCCATTTTAAATAAATACATACCCAAAACAGAATTTTAAGAACACAATTATAAAACAGGAATAATTTTTAATGGGACTATTATCAAGCCATATATATTCTAGTATCTCTAAAAAGTAAAATAAATTCTTCAAAAAATCCACTTATATCTTGTCTTTCTCTCTCTCTCTTTTCTCTCTTCCTTTCAGTACCAGAGATCGAACTCAGGACTTTGTGCCTGCCTGGCAGGCACAGCACCACTGAGCTAAATCCATGGCCCTCTTATGTTTTTCTTATTTCTATCAGTGGTAATTCAAACAACTAGAAAAAATAAAATAAATCTGATCATTTATAAAACTTATTTCTCAACTAACAGATTCTTTAAAAATAATCAGCTTTTGCCAGGGATTTAGCTCAGTGGTTCCGCCTCCTGCCACGCAAGTGCAAGGTCCCAAGTTCGATCTCCGGTACCAAAAAAATAATAATAATAATAATCAGCTTTACATACTTTGTAGTAATATATCTAACATGTATAGCTTCATATTTTGATTAACAGGTTTTTCTCCTATTTGTGTCTATAAAAAAAGTAGTGAAACAGTTTTACCCTTAGATTCCAATCACTGTATCACTGTAATATTTTTCCTTGGCCTAAATTTATATTCATTCTCTTAGGACCCTTACAACTTAATATGTACACTCTACCACTGGAAGTAAATTGTTTAGAAATACACACAAATATAAACTTCTTAATTTTGTGATTATACAACTTTTCCTGCCTAAAAATGTTATTTTCAAGAGAACTGTAATTTTAGTGGGAGGAAAATAGGTTTCTATTACATTTTACCTTTTAGGGTATGTCAAAAACTAAAATGTCTTCACAACCTACCAATTGTTGTAGGACATTAAACACACGTTCTCCTAAAACAGAAGATCTCTAACTAGTATCTTCTTAAGTGAACTTGAAATTATTAGTGATATACATAAGAAAATAAACTGAACAAATACTTCACTCCATATATAAAAATTAACTTGACATAAGTCAATACTTAAATATGAAAGCTAAAACTAAAAAAATCAGAGAAAATATTAACTGAGTTTAGGCAAAGTTTAAATACAACCAAAAGCACAACCCAGAAAACACTGATAAACTGAACTTCATAAAAAGTAAGGGGCCAAAAAAAAGGTAAGGGCCAGAAATTTAGGTCAGTGGCGCCACCTGCCTGGCAAGAGGAAGGTCCTGAGTTGGATCCCCAGTTCTGCACAAAAGGAAAAAAAAAAAGTTAGAATTATCTGTTTGGTTTTTTTTTAGTACCAGAGATCGAACTCAGGACCTTGCACTTGCAAGGCAGGTGGTGGCACCACTAAGCTAAATCCCCGGCCCAGAATGCCTGTTTCTTAAAGAGAGATTGTTAAGAAAAGGAAAAGACAAACCAGACTGGGAGAAAATATTTCCAAATCACCTATCTGATAAACAATTTGTATCCAGAATATATGAAGAACTCTGAACAACAATAAAACAACACAAGTTTTTAAAATTCAACGAAAGTTTTGAAGAAATTTCCCAAAGACATACAGATGGCAGGTACACTAGAACATGCTCAACATCAGCAGTCATTAGGGAAATGCAAATTAAATCCAAAATGAAATACTACAAATTTATCAGAGCATCTAAAGTCAAAAAGTAATCATACCAAGAATCAGTGAGGATATAGGGCAACTAGACCTCTCATACACTGCTGGTAGAAATGTAAAATGGTACAACTACTTTGGAATACATTTTGGCAAGTTTTTCAAAAAATTAGAACATACAGGCCCCATATAACCAACCATTCTACTCCTAGTAGTTATCCAAGAGAAAAGAAAGCAAATATCCACACAAAACTTTGTATACAAATTTTGTCCAGAGTGATTTTAATTGCTAACAGCCAAAATCTGGAAATAATCCAAATGTCCATCCACAAGTGAATGTATATGAATAGACGGTGGTACATCCATTCAATGAAAAATTACTCAATAATAAATACCCAAAACAACACAGATGTATCTTAAAGAAATTAAACTGAGAGAAAGAAGCCAGACAATGGGACATGGTGGTTCACACCTATAATCCCAGTTACTCAGGAGAGGAAGGCAGTATTTCTTGACCATAGGAGTTTAAGACCAGCCTAGGAAACAGCAAGAGCCCAACTCAAACAAAAAAAGGCGGGGGGGGGGGGGGGGAAGCACATGGTACCAATCCATGAGGCTAGCTATACAGGGATGATGTCGGGGAACAGCCCAAGATGAGGCTAAAGACACAAATTTTCTCAAATTTCCCAGTTCAATGTGATAAATATTTAATGTACTTTAGACTTTCAAAATCCTAGCTGTTAGTTATATTCAGTTTTTCCCATACATCAAATTACTTAAAAGGGGCAGAAATAGATTAATTTAATCTGTCACAGTCTATAGTCACCAAAAACTTAACTTTTATTCAATATAAAGCTCAAGGACAAAAGGATTTAAATTTTCTTAAGGAAATAAAACTTTAAGTAGAAGATTTAAGAAAACAAATACATACCTAAGAAATTCTACCTGACAGAATTCTAGTTTTAAAAATCTAGAGGGCCAGGAGTTTAGCTCAGTGGTGCCGCCACCGCCTGCCTTGCAACCTCAAAGTCCTGAGTTCGATCCCCAGCACCGCAAAAAACCCTCAAAACTCTAGCGATAACAAGTTTCCTAAAACTTTTTCAATCTGAAGAAACCAAATATAATAATTATAAAAACCTAAAACCGCCTTCAAATTAGTCATTTTCATGTTTAATTCCTAAAATGATCAAAGGTGAAAAAATGGAGTTTCTAAATTCAATTTTTTCTGTATCTCATAAGCAATATAAACATAGGAAATGTGCTCAGAAAACTCACCATTTGTACAACAGACTCCCTTAGTCGTGTTTCTTCTTCAGTCATGAGAGTCAATTCTTTGCAAACCATAGCAGCCAGTCCCACATCTAAGCATTCTGGGTCTGCCGCCATCTTGAAAATGAGTTCTTCATGTGAAAAGACACAATGCCGCCTTAGGCGTCGGTAATGATTTACACACTGACGTCCAATGGGCAACTGAAAACAAATTCCTGAATTAAATTACTTGCTTATAATGTATTCCAGAAAAGAACTTCTATTTACCTTCTACATCCTCCCTTTAATCATAAAGACAAAATAATAAATTCCACATAAATATAAAAGGCAATTATAAATATTAACCCTCCTTGACCCAGCCAGAATTTCAAAGATCCTTCCCACAGAAAATTCTCATGATCTAAAATGTTAAGCTTCTGGCTTAAACTGCTCATTTTCTACTCATTATATGTATCAAGAAACAGGAGCCCCCTAGTGTATAAATGAGGCAGCAAACTCTTTTTACATCAGTCAACATGAGGCTTCCCTTAAAGAAAAAAATGTAAAAATAAAACTTTTAAAAGTGCTCTCCATAAAGGCTTCAATGGAATTATTCAGGACTCAAGATTCCATAAAACAAAAAGAATGATGTTATTAGAAAGAAGAAAAAAAAAGAAAATAAGAAAAGGTACTATTTAAGTATACTGCCTGACTTTTTCTTTTTTTTGCGAGAACCATGGCAAAAGATGGTTTAGATTAAGCATCTAGAATACTTTTTCAAAGCAACCATCTTCACAGAATGAGGATTCGAAGAAGTGAAATCACGAGATTACATACTGTTTACCCTAACAGTGACTAAACAATGACTAAATACAATAATCACCTTTTACCAATCAAGAACTTTTCATAAATACAGGGCCAGGGATGTAGCTCAGTGGTACAGCACAACCTCACCATGCATGAGGCCTTGCATTAGTGCAACAGCACTGTCAAAAACAAAACAAAACAAAACCCAACTAGCTGTAATCTACACACACACACACACACACACACACACACACTCTCTCTCTCTCTCTCTCTCTCTCTCCAACTTCAACTTCTTTCCTATGCTTAAGTGAAAAAACCATAGTAACTGAAAGTTAATTGTTTGGATTAGGAAACTATAATATAAAAGGGAAAAAAAAGAAAATTAACCATTAAGAACCTTTTAAAATTCATCTCCATTTTGATAATGGCAAAAAGGAATCAGAGGTATCATAGAACCTATGAGGCTCTCTCTGAATCAAGGAGTGTTTCCATACTCTTCAAAGAAACTATCATTCCCTACAATGTATTTCAAATTTAGGATCAGCAAGCATCTTGTTTTCTATTAACAACATACAACTCTTTCATATCTTCATTCTTAAGTATTTACTCTTCAATTTCTCTCATGGCTACAAGGGAAAGTATAAGAAAACTCAAGTACAGTTTCCAGTTTTTAATCAAATAAGGCTGATTATTCATTGTGACTTATAAAATCCCATTCTTCCTTTTTTTATTTTTTTATTTTTTTGAGGTAGGGTCTCACTATGTGGACCAGGCTGGCCTTCAACTCATTGTGTAGCCCAGTCTGGCCTCAAACTGGTGGTACTCCTCCTGCCTCAGCCTCCTAAACGCTGGAATTACAAGCATGCACCACCATGCCTAACTTGCCCTAACTTTTCATTTATATCATCACCTTCTAAAGAATATCAACAGCTCTCACCCATAACATTTAATTTGTTCACATTATTAAGTGACTCTATTAGCATCTACTAGGGAAAAAACAACTTAGGCCCAGTGAAATTAAGAGCTACCCCAGACAGCATGTTAAAGGTAGCTATCAACTCTCTTATCTAAACTGTCCTGTTTCCTACCCTACACCAAGTCAAGCACCATGTAAACCATGAACAGTATAAACATTAGCTGAATTTTGAAAAATAGCTCAAGTGCCCAAGGCAAATCCCATAGTGCCCAAGGCTTGCCCATACTAAATTATGCTGCTTCCAAAACCTAAAAACTTAAAAACTAAAACCTAAAAAGGAAGTTTAAAATTACTGGATTAGCCAGGCATGGTGGCACATGCCTATAATCCCAGCACTTGGGAAGTTGAGGCAGTAGGACTGCTATGAGTTCAAGGCCAGCCTGGGCTACATAGTGAGACCCTGTCTCAAAAAACCAAAAATTAAAATTACTGGATTAAAATAAAGACTATTCACAAGCCAGACATGGTGGTATATGCCTGTACTCCCCCAGTATTCTGGAGTCTGAGGCAAGAAAATCACCTGAGCCTCTAGGTATTCAAAGGCAGTATGGGAAACATAGCAAGAGCCTACTTCAAGAAAGTATTTAAGGGCCGGGGATTTAACTCAATGGTTCTGCCGCCTGCCTCACAAGCACAAGGACTTGAGTTCAATTCCCAGTATCAAAAAAAAGAAAAGTATTTTATTATGAAAATGTATTCATTAGCCAAAGAAACAAACATTCTATCATTAATCATGGAATTTAATAAATTAAGGTACCCATGGAAAATAAAAGATCAAATACTACTAAAAGATTTTCCCCAAAATGTTAAGAGGTAACAAAAACAGCATTACTAAAGGAAAAATGAACAGCACATTATAAATGTGCAGTTTTTCCCCAACCAACATGGTCTAACCATAACTAATTATATTTTCATATCTATCTCATATAAAAGTAAAACAGCAATGAATGGCATTATCATTTACACATTTTAAGATCGAGAAAACTAGAAGAATTATATTTTCTCAGAAAATAATCAGCTGCCCATTTAAAATCCAAACAGAATAGGAAAATGAATGTATGAGAACAAAAGAATTATAAAACTTTCTAAATAAACAATGTGATGGAGACTCTGCTTAACTTCCTAAACTACAATAGCCATGCCAGTCTCCACTGAAATATTAATGTCCCCTATTCAGAACGCAGCTAAACAAATATAACACCTAAGCTGCATTTTATAGTGGTGTTAGTACACGTACAACAGCCACTTGCTATAGAACAGACCCAGTCAGCAGTACAGAAGTTCACAGCTTCAGCAAAGTTGTAGCCCTGGTTAAATCCAGAATGATAGGCACGAGGAAATGTCACAACAAACTCGCCTGCACACTGATTGGTCCTGTACACCTAAATGCAAATTGAGAAAAAGGATATTAAAAAAAAAAAAAAGAAAAAAAAAGAGGGGGACATTTTATCAGTCAGATGGTTGTGGAAGCATTTTCTAAAATTGAAAATAATAAAACATTAACTTATACACATTACCAATAATATCACGATTTAGTAAGTAGGCAAAATTCTACCTTATTAAAAGAGTCACTGATACAAGTAATTCATGACAAAATTAGCATCCAAAAAATTCTCAAAGGGAAAATGTTACTCACCGGTAACTTGATAAAATATTTACAATTATGGAAATTTTTTATCGTTGGGTTGCAAATAGTGCTAAAACATGGAATTTCTCACTATCTTTAGATAATTTTTTGGTAACTACATTAGCTCATACATTGTTTTAGCCCCAGAATCAGTTTTCCTGAATGTTACTTTGTTTTATGATAATACTATGTCTTTTAAAAAGCCACAAATTGTAGTATAAGTACATTCTTTTTTCTTTTTTTAGTACTGGGGATTGAACCCAGGACCTTCACGCTGAGCTACATACCCAGCTCCACCCCTCTTTTTTTGAGAAAGGAAGACCTCACTAAGGTCTTCCAGGCTGGACTTGAACTTGAGATTATCCTGCCTCAGCTTCCCAGAGTGCTGAGATTACAGGTATGCACTACTGCACCTGGCTAACTCACTTTTTTGTTTTTTGGTACCGGGGATCGAACTCAGGACCTTGCACTTTTGAGGGAGGCAGCAGCACCACTGAGCAAATCCCTGGCCCCCTAACTCACTCTTTAGAGACAAAGTAACATTACAAATGTTATTCAATTTACTTTTTCATTGAAGTTATAATGAATACTTGATTATATGTAACAAGTTGTTCATTTATACTTTATTACATTATAGTAGTTTAAATTTGAGAATCATTTTAAAAGCTAAGTTGAAAGGAGAAAACGTATTCATAGTATATTTTTATTTCATTATCAAGTATTAAAATTGTGACATCTTTATATAAAAAAGGATGTCATTAAAATATCTATTTTGTTGGTTAAAGTAGTAAAAAACATGAGATTTCTGTTTAAAATAGGATATAATGGTTTACAGAAAACAGAAGGCTATTTGAGCAGGAAACTATACATAAAGTATGATTCATACCTCTTAAGCAGATAAAAATTGTTTCCTATGAAGTATAAATTTGAATTTGGCTAGAAGATAATATAACTTTTCACTTTCCAGTTACAGAATAAAGCATATGCATGATTCTATCTAACCAAGAGCTAAAATAACTTTAAAAATACTAAAAGGAGACACAAAAGGACTCACAGGCACACCATGCTCCATTAGCACATTGGGGTTCATAATGGTGACTAATTGATGTAGCAGATCAGGCTGGGACTCAAATAACTCAGGGGCCAGCTCCCTCATCACTTCTTCCAGTTGTTCTGCAGCATGAGATGGTACACCATACCATGTCTTTGGCTCACCCCTAGCGAAAGAAATAACTATTTAGTTAGGTAGAGCATGGTACCAATGAGGCCGGAGTCTCTAATTCACTCCCACTAAATTATAATTAACTGTATATTATTCTCTAACTCAAACCTACTAAAGTTAGCTAATGTGTATTACTCTCTAATCCAAACCCACTGCATTATAATGACTGTGTCTTATTCTATGGCCACAGAATTCTGCCAATCACTTCACAAATCTGTGCTATTCTTTGTAAGAGGTAGGGGCAAGAGTATATGGATAGGTTGCTAATTATCACTTCTATTAAAAAGCAACTCAAAGCACATAAACTCTTTCAGGAGATCAGTAACTATATGTTCAAATAAGAAAGACACTACATGAAAAGTAAACACTGTTCCAAAGGGTACTGATGCACTACCTAGATTTATAGGTCCACTGGACATTCCTGTTATCTCCACAATAATCAACGTAAAAGTTGATGATCTCTAGAATAGCTATAATTTCACTGAATTCAATTTACTCTCCAAGGAAATAAACTACTCACACATACTTTAAATGGGTAGATGTCTAGATACTTCCCCTTTCATCTCCAATATATTATCCTACATTTGGGTAGAAAATACTTCCCCCCCGCCCCCAGTACCAGGGATCGAACTCAGTACCTTGCACTGGCAAGGCAGGTGCAGTGCCACTGAGCTACATTCCTGGACCTAGAAAATACTTTTGAAGTCATTACTCCTCAATATTATTACATCTTTAAAAAAAGACTAGGGCTAGGTCTGGGGGATGTAGCTCAGGGGCACAGCGCCTGTTTGGCAAGCATGAGGTCCTAAGTTCAATCCGTAGTACCAAAAAAATAAATAAACTAGGACTAGAGACATAACTTTGTGATAGAGCATGTGCTTAGCATGCACAAGGCCCTGGATTCAATCTTCAACACTAAAATTAATAAATAAATAAAATTTTCAGTAAGTATGTATGCCATACTGATCGAGGATATACATACCAATGCAAGTAGTTAATGGAATAACTCCAGTGATCTTCAATGTGCCAGCAAAAAGAAGAGAAACACATTCCCACGTACAGCCATGGCACCTTCATACCAGAAATATCTACATTAATGTGCGCAAGAACAGACTGGTCCAGGATAGGCATGTTATTCAAATTCCAACCAGAAAGTGCATACTCCTATTAAAAAAATTTTTTTTGTTAAAAAGACCAGAAATCACAAATGCTTAAGAGAAATTTCAAGAAAAGCCTCTCAAAGAAACTAATAGAATATTTCCTGTTATCTAATACTTACAATTTATGTAATTAGAAATTTAATCCTATCTCATTCCTAATTTCTTTTCAGATTTACCCTTATTTACCTCTGGTTTGCTTTGATGCACATGAGCAAATTTTTTTGGGTTTTTTTTTTAGTACCAGGGATCGAACTGGGGGTCCTTGCACTTGCGCAGCAGGCAGCGAAACCACTGAGCTAAATCCCCGGCCCCACACGAGCAAATCTTATTACTCCCCAGCCCTCTCATAAAACAGGGTGAGACCAATTTTAACAAGTCATTACAGTTCTACTTTATCCCCAGTGGCGTAACTTCCCAAAATATTGATTACTATATTTATAGAATGGTGCTAGACACTGTAAAGGCAAAACAAAATGACACCTAATTCTGAATTGTGACAACACTGAAAGCTAGTATGATGCAAAAAGTCACCACTACCACCCCTCACTACAAAAATATCTAGAAAAATTAAGTAAATTATAATATTGTTTCACAACTGAACTTGAAAGTAAAAGGAATTCCTAGTTTCCAGAAAGAGAGGAAGCAAAGCCAAACTAAAAAAGAAAGCTTTGTTAAAGAGTTTTCACAAGGGCTTCTAACTAGATTTAAGATCGAAAGAATAAGCTTCAAACACATATAGCTCTGAAGCCATATGACATGCAGACTTTAAATGCTTATCATCTTAAATAGAACACTTCTCAAAGTGAAGACAGAGAATCTATGAAGTCTATTACTATTATTATTATTATTTTCATAGTAATTCTAAGATATTATCTACCTTTACATTAACATCCTTTAGCAATACAGCATGAGTTTCCCAGAGGAAATATAGTATGAGATAGCATAGGAGACTGAATGCAGAGACAGAAATGATAATCCAACTGCCTTCTATTAGACAGTTAGTAACTGAACCTGGATGCCAGTTACTGAGGGATGGAAGTTTATTATTGTATTTACTTTTTTTTTTTTGGTACTGGGGATTGAACTCAGGACCTTGCACTTGTGAGGCAGACGGCACCACTGAGCTAAATCCCCAGCCCTTTGTATTTACTTTTATATGTTTATAGACGTTTCTACTATAAAAGGAAAAAATCGTCAAAGCAAGAGGTTAAATAGCCCATGGCAGAGCTTATGAGAGAAATCAGTGAACCAGTAGACAGATTTGAGAAAATCATCCATAATGCAGCAGAAAGATATGGAAACTATGGAAGTAAAGAATCATAAAAGACAGAATAAGAGAATCTAACATTGTTTTGACTAGGAATTCCAAAAGAGAAATAACAAAGAGCTAGGCATGGTGATGCACACCTGTAATCCCAGCACTGGAGAGGCTACGGCAGGAGTACTGTCACAGTTCAAGGGCACCCTGAGCTACATAGTAAATTAAAGGTGAGCCCTGACTACATGTGAAGACAGTCTTAAAACAGGGTGGGGGTGGGGTCCTACTTGATAAAAAAAAGAAAGAGGAAGGGAAGAAGGGAGGGACTTTAAACACTACTCAAGGTTTAACGGTTGTTTGGACGGCTGGTTGGCTGAAAAACGAGTCTAGTTGAAGACAGGATCTACACATCAAAACATATAACACAAAGCAACATACATATATTAAACTCCGAAATGCTGTTATCAAAGTAGATAGTTCTTTGGAGGGCAATAAATGGTAATCACCATGGGTTCTGAATATTTTGCATCATGAAAAGGAATACCCTGAGTTGAACCTTGAAGGATATATAATATTTGAATAGGAGCTAGAGGTGAAGTTTAGTGGTAGATGTGCAAAGAGTCTTAGGTCCAATCCCCTGCATTCAAAAAAAACCATTCTAAGAGAGTTATGGGAATACAAAAGGTAAATTACAGAGACACAATACACTAGTCTGGCTGGTGAAGAAGTACAGTACAAGAGCCAGACCCAGAAATATAGGAAATAAGACCAGAAAGAAAGATTTAATGTTAAGTTTTGGACTAAAAACTAGAGTTTATCCTATATTCAAAAGGAAAATAAAACATTTTGAAAAATGAAACTATGAAGTATCTGTAAGTATTTTAAAACTTGATTATAGACAATTTCAAACACAAAATACAGGGCTGGGAATTTAGCTCAGTGGTTCCGCTGCCTGCCTCGCAAGCGCAAGGTCCCAAGCAATCCCCAGTACCAAAGGAAAAAAAAAAAAAACAAAGTACAGAGTTGCATAATAGATTTCCCCATAAATCTTAAAATTTTAAGTGAAAGTGAGTCTATGACATTGCCAAAAGAATTACAGGGCATGATCAAAAAACATGGTAAATGTTAAGTTTATTTTTTTCCAACTTTACAGTAAGATACATTGCCCTTAATCCTCCTCACTTCAAACATACTTCCCTTCATTCCTGTCACTTCTTGAAGCAGGCTTTATGAGTGTCTATGAGGTGCCAAATGCCACTAAAGGCAGGCTCATAAAAACATTACACTGTATCCTCATCCACGTTATTTGCTGGATCTGGCGCCATGCAACTTCTGCCTCTTCCCCAAAATCAAAACAACCATGACAAGTAAATGTTTCAAATCCATTCTGAACATCAAGGCAATCAGGACAGTGCAACTCAAAGACACTCATGAAAAAGGACTTCCGCAACTGCTTCAGAGTGGCAAGAATGATGGTATACATGTGTTTGAAGCGAGGGGGTGTATGTTATGGGGAATTAATGGCAATGTGTCTTTTACCTTAATACATTTTTTAAAAAAATTAAATACTCACTATATTTTTGATTGTGTCCCACACATGAAAAAGAAAAACACAGTAGACCTGAGACTGGTATCCTTCAAAAGGCCTGCCAAAGTTCGGCCCTTGGCTGGTATCTGGAAATGGGAATGATGAACGGTTCCCTACACTAACAGAAAACCTTTCCTCCATGGTAAGAGTGGATCACAGTGCCTGGACTGTACAATACACTTTGTGCTGAACATCAGCTTTCCTTCTGGGTGTCTGGAATTTTGGTATGTGTTCTGGCAAAAGGTGCTCATGTCACCAGCCCCAAATAAAAACCTTGAGCACAGAGTCTCTAATGAGATTTCCTAGTAGACAACACTCCACATATGTTGGCATAATTTAAAACTGGAGTAATCACAGATACCTTTTTAAAAAGAACTTTTGGTGGGGATTTAGCTCAGTGGTTCTGCCACCTGCCTTGCAAGCACAAGGACCCAAGTTTGATCCCTGATACCAAAAAAAAAAGTTAAAAAGAACTCTTAATGCTGGCGGGGTGTGGAGAGAAAGGGACCCTTCTCCATTGTTGGTGGGAGTGCAGACTGGTGCAACCACTATGGAAATCAGTGTGGATATACCTAAAAGAACTAGGGCTGGAGGTCCCATTTGACCCAGCTATTCCCCTGCTGGGTATTTTCCCAAAAGAATGAAAAGAATCATACCACAGTGACATACATGCACCCATGTTCATAGCAGCACAGTTTGTAATAGCTAAAGCTTGGAAACAGCCCAAGTGCCCATCAACTGGAAACTGGATAAAGAAGATGTGGTTTTTTTATAAAATGGAGTACTATTCAGCCATAAAGAATGAGAAACTAGAGTCATTTATAGCTAAATGGACACATATTGAGGGGATACTCTTAAGTGAAATAAATAAGACACACATGTGTAAATACCGAATAGTTTCTCTAGTGTGAGAAACTGAGAGTGTAAATAAGGACTAAAAGGATTAATAACTATAATTGATACTTTGAAATAGGAAAAGGTCCAAGGGGTAGGGGTGGTGGGAGAGGAAGGGGAAAGGAAAGAATGGAAAGGAAAAATTATGAGAAAAGAAAAAAAATGGAAACAAAGTATGTAAATAAGGAAGGGTTTAGAGGTGAAGGGCGCACAGGTAATGGGGAAAAAATAAGAACCAAGATACATCATGTACAGGTACAAGCACCCAAAGATAAATCTAAATGTATCGTATACCTAAAATATACCAATAAAAGAATTTAAAAAAAAAAAAAAAAGAACTCTTAAATTACTGCCAATTATAGAAGGAAAGAAGTAGCAGCAGGAACAAAAGACAAACGATCAGTTCAGCTTCACACATCCAGCTTTACACATCTCTCTATGTGACAGAGGACTTCATGCATATGTTGCAGTTTACATGCATACTTGAAAGCCTGTCTACCCAACTATTGAAGGAAACTTACTTCAGAATTATCAACAAAATCTATCTTTTCTTCCAAGAAAAAGTAAGTCATTTTCTAGATTTTAGAACAGAAAGAGCTAGGCAAAGATTTTAAACTGATATTAATGCTTTAAATTAATTAGTTTTCAAATTCAGAGTTTTGGGGTTTTTGTTTGTTCGGTGTTGGCAGTGGTGCTGGGGGTTTGAATCCAAAGCCCTTGTACTAAGCTACATTCCCAACCCTTTTTATTCTGTGACAGATCTCACTAAGTCACTAAGAGGCCCAGGCTCAAACCCATGATCCTCTTGTTTCAGCCTCCCAAATGCTAGCGCTACAGGTATGCACCACCATACTCAGCTTAGAGTTAGATAATTTTTAAAGATATTTTGAATTCATGGAGTTTCTGTTGTTGTCTTGTTTTTCCTTTTCAGTGCTAAAGATCAAATGCATGTTAGGCAAATGCTCTTACCACTGAGCTATAGCCCTAGTACTGAATTTGTTGTTTTTAAAACTGAAAACTGCCAGGCGTGTTGGCACACACCTATAATCCCAGCACTTGGGAGGCTAAGGCAGGAAGATCGCCACAAATTTGAGACCAGCCTGGGCTACATAATGAGTTCAAGGCCAGCCTGAACTAGACAGTGAGATCCTGTCTCAAAAATAAATAAACAACAAAATTATTTGTATTGTCCAAAGCCTATATATTTAACATTTTAAATTGACATGATCCTTTAAGATTAAAGAAAGGTGGTTTTCTATGAAAAAGCTAAAAAAGGCTAGGGAGGTAGCTCAGTGGCAGAGTGCTTGCCTAGCATGCACAAGGCCCTGGTTTCAATCCCTAATACTACACAAAAAAAAGAAAAGAAGAAAAAGCTAAAATGCTTGGGAGTTAGCAAAAATGTAGATAATACTATGTGCACCTCCTCTTCTGGCAACATCTTTCTCCGACCATCCTTCACAGGAAATCCACTTCCAAAGTCTTTTGAGGAAATATCAGCTCCATACTCTACAATAACATCTTCTTCAATGCTGCTAACCAGCCGCCAGAATTCCTTTTCTACCAGTTCTGTGGGAACCATCTACATAGGGAAACAAAGATGACAGATTATTAACTCATTTATAATCTACTATAACATAATACATAGGCTAAATAAACACAAATTCATGATGAAATTTTTAAAAAGTCATTTCCCACAGCAAAAATGACTGACATCCTAGCTTTTTTCACTCAGAATGGGGGAAAGCTAAAGGTAACTTGGATATTCAGAAAAACATAATGAACTTGAACTGCTTTGTTCTGAAAGCAACTGTTTCCCTACTATGAAGGACAAAGATGAACCAGAACATCAAGAAGGAACAAGGAAATTTAAAAAGCTAGGCCAAATTTTATTACCTTTAGCAAATTTTTTTAGCACTGCATTGCTAGGAACTTAAAAAGCCTAGATCCCCTAGGGAAAACAAAGCAAACCACATATTACAATTAGCTAAACAAAAGCAGTGATAGCCAAATACTTTATGCTTCTGTGTAAGAGAATACTCACGGAGAGATAATAAAACAATTCAAGCATCAAAACAGATTTCTCCATAGGAGAATACAAACTCCACATTAAGAGACTGAAAGAAACAAATAGCCAGGTGTGGTAGTGCAGGCCTGTAATCCCAGCCCTCAAGAGGCTGAGACAGGAAGATCGCTGTGCGTTCTAAGCCAGCCTGAGCTAGCTAGTGAATTCAAGACCTACCTGAACTACATAGTGAAACCCTGTCCCACTGAATGAATGAATTAAATAAAACAGATGCTAGACCTTTAATTTTAAGATTCAGTATTCTTTCATCCTTTTCATGGTGTCCCTGTTTTCTACAAAGTACTGAAAAAAAAGGAAACCAAAAGCTTTAGACTTAGAAAAATCTTTGTACCTCTCCAAGCTGGCTTAAAAGATAGTTACTCACATGGACTGGCATATTGAAATAATCAGACTTAAAATTATCTGCCATCTCTCCAAAGCTCTGAAGTGTATACTCTCGTATGGCTTGTTCAAATCCAAAGGCCTCTCGAGGTTTGTTACATTCCTGGAAAGAAAAAAATAGCTAAGATTAACTCAGTGAAACTAATTTAAAAAGCACTAGAGATCTAAGTGTGGTGGTACATGCCTGTAATCCCAGCAATCTGGGTGGGAGAGGCAAGATCTCTGGTTCAAAACCATATGGGCAATTCAACAACATCCTGTCTCAAAATGGGGGAAAGGGAAGGGAGGAGGAGGATGGGAGGGAGGGAGGAAAAGAAGAGGGGAAGAACGAGGAGAGGAAAGGGGAAGAAGAGAGGAGAGAGGAGAGCAAGGAGGGGAGGGGAGAAAGGAGAGAGGTGAGGAAGGACAAGGAGGGAGGGGAAGGAGAAGGGGAGTAGGGAAAGAGAAGAGGGAGAAGAGGGGGAAAAAAGGAGAAAGAGAGGAAGGAAGAAGGGGAGAGCAGAAGTAGGAGAGGGAGGGACTAAGCTCTTAGGTACTATTTTGATTATTTCCTTAGATGAACCAAATCTAACCAACCCTAGACACAACAAAACAAGTATTACTGGAGTCAACTGCAAAATGGTGTAAGGAAATAGTATTCTAGAACCTCAACTCTTATTCTCAGTCTTCCAGTAGGAAGGTAGTAATGAGAAGTTTTAGACTGGAGTTGGCATTATGTTCGGTCACCAAGACATTTAAAAAATTTTAAAGACATTTTAAAGATGACATTTGTCATTTTTAGCATCCATTAGATCTGGTCGTAGAGAAAATAAATATTTATGGGGGAAAAAAAAGGTTGTGGATATTAGGATACCCACCGCATTGCTAAGATTAGCTGGCTAGGAAAATGGTTTGCTCACACAGTCATTATAATTGCCACGATGTCTTAACACAAATATTCATTAATACAGAACTCTGAATCCTTTAACCTTGAAAACAGTAGTGAATAAATAACAATTCCTAGACCATAAAAGACCTCGGAATGTATCTAGATATACCTAGCCAACTCCTTTACTTCAATGCCCTATCATGACAGTTTGTTAAAATAAGTAAATAGACTAAGCTTTTCATAACATCAGTATCTTTAATAAGAAAAATTTAGTATAATCAAGTCAAAATGTGCACAAGGTAAAAGACATCAGTTTATTTAATAGCATGACAACGTGTATAAATCCCAAGTTCTAGAACTTTGTGTCCAATTATAGTTTAATTTTTTAAAAGACCTACAGGTTTTATTTTTATTCCAGCAATATGAATACTCCGAGCAGAAATCTCATTCAACTGAAGCAATATTTCTCACCAATAGTGGGAAAAAGAAACTTTGAAGGCCAAGTTGCCTCAATATGGTTGTTACATTTCTATTCAACACAACTTTTTTAAAACCATGAAAAACCTCCAACTCTAAAGAACAAAAAGAAAGTACAAGCTTTGGGGAACCTATTTACATGTATGTGTACATGCATGCATTACTTTTTTTACTTAGAAAAGGATCCATAAAGTTTAGGCTTGTACCTCAGCAACACACTTAGGACACCTCCAGTCTCCCTTGGGAACATCAGGTAGTGGTGGAATTAGACAAAATGTATGATAGCTGTCATCACATCCATCACACAAAAGCAATTTATCTTCATTGTTTCCCCGACCACAAAACATACACACATAGAGATCAACCTGTTAAAATAAATAAATAAAGTCTAGTTGCTATAAAAGAGAATATTAAATTACCAGGACCTCTTTAATTAAAACAGACAAAACAATGCATACTGAAAGATAAATTAACTTAAATCCTGAATATCTACTTTAATATTTTAACACTTTTTAAAATAGAACTTCCTAAATTTTTCTCCAGAGCTTCCACCAACAAATTAATAAAAGCATATCAAATTATTAAAGAAACACTACAAATCTAGGGTATGTAAAAATTAATCTGTTTTTTGAAATGCTGTTCTTTCCAGATATAAGTACTTTTAGTAAAGAATGAATACTGAGAACTGCCTATATAATACAACTCAATAATTCACAAGTATCCATGAGAACCTGCCAGGATTGCTTCAAAGATTCTCCCCATTCACACCCACACCCACATCCATACTCACACCCACTCCCCTGGATACCAAAATCCACAAATGCTCAAGTAAGGATATACAATGGCATAATATTTGGTTATAATAGTATATGCATGACCAATATATTTTAAGCTATCTCTACATTACTTATTATACCCAACACAATGTGAATGCTTACTATGTAAATAGTTGTTATACTGCATTGCTCATGACAAGAAAAAAGGTCTGTACTTGTTCAATACAGACACAGTTTAAAAAAAAAAAAATTTCAATCTATACTTGGTTCAACCCACAGATTTACAACCTGGGGATACAGAGGACCAACTGTATTCAGATTGACACTAATTCTCTCATTTAATCACCCATAAGGTATATGAGCTAAGGGGAAGTCTATGTACGTGAAACAAAGCAAGGTTAACATTACATAAATCAAAGCAGTAACTTCAGATTTGCCATCAAGGCTTCTAACCAAATAAGCCTATTAAACAACATACAAAAATATACCAAAGTAAAAGTACAAACCAAAATTAAAATAAATCCTTTCCCTCCTAACATATCCCAAAGCACTTACAAAGTTAACAGAGAGAGTTCCTTTCCGTTGTCTCATTTGCATGTTAAATGCGTCTGACCTGTTGGTAACTTTTCGTCTTCGGGTGACCTCATCTTGAAATAAAAAGTTATATAATAATAGTAAAAACTAATGTTGAGAGCTTACTATGGACCAGATACTATTTAAAATTATTTAAATTAGTTAAAAATCTCACAACACTATGAGGTAGATATATTATTATCTGTGGTTGAAGATAAAGAACCTAAGGTATAGAGAAGTTAGATAACTTGCTCAAAATCACATAGCCAGTCAGTGGCAGACTCGGGATTCTAATCCAGGTAATTAAGCTTCAGAGAGTTTAACCACTGATGCCATATGGTCTGTATGCAGTACTACTACATAGTGCCTATAGGTATGATTTACAGGGACTCTCAAATTAATCATGGATTAATTTTTTAAGATCACTGCCAGCCAATGCAAAAATTTCAGGAATAACAAAGTACTTAACTCTTTAAAAGGTAATTAAAAACATTATAATGTATTTAGTAAATCCTATTAAACAGAATGTCCTGAGAGTGATGGAACAATATTATCTGATCTTCTATAGTTCAGTCCATGATCTGAATTATGATTAAACTATTCATATCATAAAATGCATAATATATGTGACTACACCATTTTATTAAATTCTTATAGTATAGTCAAAACATGTCAAACCTATTCTTTGTTAAAATGGTGTTTTTGTGTGGGTCTTCTGTTGTTTTGTTTTGCTTTGTTTTGCACTAATACTAGGGATGGAACCCAGTGCCTCACACAGGCTAAGCAAGCACTCTACCACAAAGCTACACCCCACCCTAAAATGACTTTTAAAACTGACCTGTTACAAAGGGAGAATAGAACCTGATTTTTGCATTAGCAATTCTACTCACAAAAATTCCAAACATGCAAAGCTAAAGAGAACTACGCTCTTTGAGAAAAAAGTTTATTTAAAGGGTATCAATGCTGGGCGTGGTGGCACATGCCTGTAATCCCAGCACTTGGGAAGCTGAGGCAGGAAGATTGCTGCAAGTTCGGGGCCAGAACAACTGCACAGCAAGACCCTGTCTCAAAACAAATTTAAAAATTAAAAAAATAAAAAATAAATGGTATCATAATGTATCAAGGGCAATTATAAAAAATAAATTTATGGTTAGAATTTAAATGTTCTAAGATCTTCCCAGTATATTTTCATACTAAAGGTTAAAGAATCTTCTATTTACCTTTTAATTTAAAAGTTATAAGCATTTGATCACTAGATGAAAACCAATAATTTCACCATTACTGGTGAAACTAAACTAGCCTTTAGAAACTACAATCAATTTCTGTGTTGTATATCAGACATGGAGAAGGAAAATTCTCTCTTCTAAATCATAAAAATTGAATATAATATTGCTCCTCACACCTTAAGATATCTGCCATCAAAAAATAATTTACATAAAACTATTCTGCATAAAAACTATTTTGCAAATCTACAAGAAATTCCCAGCATAGATTCAAATTCAAGTATCACTTAAGTATCTTTTTACAACTATATTATCACACGTCATTTCTCTTCATGACCAATAACAGGTTTTACCTTCTTTATCTTTTGTTCCAACTGCCAGGCCCACAACCTTGGGTCCAGCCCCAAAAATCTGAAGTTTCTTCAGTTCTGTGTTTTTGTTCATTTCTCCAGATTCTGACTAAACGATAACAAACAAAATCCACATTAGCATAATTATCTTGATTAATGTATAATTCTGTTTAAGAAATAAAGTCTTGCTATGCTGCCCAGGCTGGCCCCAAATACCTGGGCCTAAGTAATCTTGCTATCTGTCTCCCAAGTAACTGGGAATAGAGACATGTACCAACATACACAGCTCTTGTATTATTTTACTACCCAAAATGTTTCAAGATCCTCTTCAAAACGAAGGAAGAGTACTTCTCTCTAAATCTACTCACTGCTTCATTTACAACAGTTTAAAACAGTCATCAAAGTACCAAAGCATCTACATTCCTTTCCAAAAAATATTTATCTTAAAAGCTTAGTTGACAATTTGGCTCTGGCTAGAGACAGACCCAGGTTATTAAACAACAGAAATTCCCACTTCTAACGTGCTAATGGATACCTGTCTTTGATTAGAGGGTAATAAAATCATCTTAGAGGATGAATCATGCCTGCCCTAAGACAATAATGCTGATCTCATTTCTCTTTGTAGGTGATGATTTAGGAGTAGGAATGTGACCCAATTTTAGCCAGTAATTCATAAAGTTTACTGGGAAAATTTTTTAATCTTCTAATAAAAAGGAAAGCTTCTTAAAGAGTAAGTCCTTTTGCCCCCACTCCCTTCTTCCTGCTAGAAAACTCAGTGCTGGAATTTGTAGTAGCCCCATTACAATTAGGAGAGAACTTACCCAGACACTAAAGCAAGAAAGGCCACTAGGCATAGTGGTGCATACCTGTAATGCCTGCTCGCTGGGAGGTTGAGCCAAGAGAACTGCAAGGCTGAGCCTACCCTGGGCAATTTAGCCACTTAGTGAGACCCTGTCTCCAAATTTAAAAAACAAGTGCTTGGGATGCAGTTAGGTGTGAAGGCCCTAGGTTTCATCCCTAGTACCACCAAAAAAAAGGACAGAAAGATGAGAAAAGAGCCTGGATCCTTCATGACAATTCGGACATGCAATACCGAGCCCAGAACTACCTTCTTCTAAATTTTTTTTTTAAGACAGGGCCTCACTATATAGTCCAGGCTGGCCTTGAACCAACTATGTAGCCCACACTGCTCTCAAACTCACAGTAATCCTCCTGCCTCAGCTTCCCAAGTGCTAAGATTACAGGTGTACACCACCACACCCAGCTAAAATTCTTATGTTGAAAACGTGTTATGTGAATAATTTACCACTAAGGTTTAAACTACTATCATTTGGCATTCTATCCCTTGAAGGTGAGAGCATCCTAACAAGTATCAGTGTTAAATCTTGAATTCAGATGAATCATAATCTCTAAATGCAGACAAATTAAATAACTAAAATTTATTTTAAATGTACAGTTAAGAATAAAAATGGGCGGGGCATTTAGCTCAGTGGTTTCGCCACCTGCTGCGCAAGCACCAGGACCCGAGTTCGATCCCCAGTAGCAAAAAAAAAACAAAAACAAAGAATTAAAATAAGGGTCGGGGATGTAGCTCAGCGGTGCCACACCTGCCTGGCAACCACAAGGTCCTGAGTTCAATTCTTGATACCAGGAAAAAAAATAAATAAACCAGGATAAAATAAAGATTATTTTATACATATGTTATGGCCACATAACAAATTCATACAGTACTGACTAATAAAAAGCCACAAAAAGGGCCGGGGATTTAGCTCAGTGGTTCTGCCACCTGCCTCGCAAGCGCAAGGTCCCAAGTTCAATCCCCAGTCCCAAAAAAGAAAGCCACAAAAAAATAAAACCAAAGTGGCATACCAAAATTTACCTCTAACCTCTTGTAGACAGACTTGATTATACTAATCAGCTTCTACAGTTAATCAAATAACACAAAACTACACATTCTTTACCATCATTATAGCAGCAAATAACAAAAGCAAAAACATTACGTATAAAGCATTATTATATCTAAGTATTTTAATCAATTAAATCTTAAAATCACTTTAGCAGATAGGAAATGTTCTAAAAAGAAAAACAACATTCTCTGATCTTAATGGAATAAAACTAGAAATAAAATTAAACTTCAAAAATGCCTTTATATCTGGAAATTTTTAACTCTCTATTAGCAGGTAACAACACTAAGAAAACTATCAGAGCACTGAAACAAATTTGGTTTGTTTGTTAGTTTTGGTTTTTTTTCTTTTGGTACCTGGGATCAAACTCAGGACCTTGCACTTGCGATGCAGGCATGGTGCCACTGAGCTAAATCCCTGGCCCACTAAAACAAATTAAGCAGTGATTACATGGAAATTTATAGTTGCAAGCACATCAATAAAAATAAAATAGTATGGGCCAGGGATTTAGCTCACTGGTGCTGTGCTGGACTCGCAACCACAAGGTCCTGAGTTTGACCCCCTATACTGCAAAAAGAAAGAAAGAAAGAAATTAAATTTCCAACTCAAAATAATAGAAAAAGAACTAAAACAAACTTTGTGCTGCTGGATTAGAGGTGGAACAATTTCTATGAATGTAAAATATAAAGCCAGAATTTTTTAAAAATTTATTTCCTAACCCTGACCATTTACAGGACCTAAAAGCCATGATATCTTAGTAGGAACAAACGCACCCTGAGCTCAGGTCATGATTTCTAAATAGCATTTCCCAGGAATCCTGAGGAATTTTTTTATTCCAGGTTTAATTAAGGAAAGGCAAGAAGAATATCAGCCTTTTGGTGCCAGAAAATAAATATCCAACACTAATAGAAATACATTAACTCTAGAGCACATGAACCAGCTTGAAGTGGCTCCCATTGGTCAAATTTGTAACAACTAGATTAAAAAAGAAATAAAGGCAATAATAGATTACACAACACTGCATTTTTAAAAATCATGATTTAGGGCCAAGGATTTAGCTCAGTGGTTCCAACACCTGCTTCGCAAGTGCAAGGTCCCGAGTTCGATCCCCAGTACCAAAAAAAATCATGATCTACAGTGATATTCAAAAAAGCAGAAGGGGGAGGCAATTACAGTTTCATAGGAATATACATTCATCAAACTCCACACTTAGGATATGTGCATTTTAATCAGATTCAGTGGCACATGTCCATAATACCAGCTACTCAGGAAGCTGAAGTAGGAGGATCACTTAAACCCAGGAATTCAGGGCCAGCCTCGGCAACATAGAGAGACTCCATCAAAAGGGGTGGTTGGGGCTGGGGATTTAGCTCAGTGGTTCCGCCGCCTGCCTTGCAAGCGCAAGGTCCCAAGTTTGATCTCTGGCACCAAAAGTGGGGGTGGGGGGTGGGGGGGGTAATATTCCTTTTAAAAAGTGTGAGAAGAGAAAATTTCATTAGAGAAAAAAACCAACTAAATAAATGTAGAAGGAAAGACAAAACTAGAGAACTACCCAGTTTGTCAATACCCATGCAATAATTAATTCAAATATCATCAATGAATTTTAAAACAGGTTATTCACAATGTTTCAGAATTTACTCTAATTCATTCTATTACAAAGTAACTAAGTACGATGTAGAAATCTGGCTCAAATTTAATTATCACCAATGGTGAGAATATTAGTAGCTTTATAGGTTTCAGTCTAATACATAAATATATGACAGTTTGGGATCTCTTGACATGAACAAAATATAATCTTAAATCTCAAGGAACTCAGTATTTCAGTGAGGTCACAGAGGATAAAATCATTTCAACACAGTACAGCAAGTGATGTGAAAGAGCTAAGAAAAGGGAACAGAGAACCGGGGATTTATCTCAGTGGTCCCAAAGCCTGCCTCACAAGCACAAGGTCCTAAGTTTGATCCCCGGTATCAAAAAAAAAAGAAAGAAAAGGGAACAGAAGTTGGGCACAGCAGTGCATACCTGTAATTCTAGCATTCTAGGAGGCTGAGGCAGAAATACTCCAAGTTCAAGCATAACTTGGGGAACTTAGTGAATTAGCAAGACCCATCCCAAAATAAAATTTTTTAAAAAGGAATGGGAGCTGGGCATGGTGGCACACACCTGTAATCCTACCACTCAGGAGGCTGAGGCAAGAGGAAACCTGAAATCTGTAAATCTGAAGCCAACCTGGGCTAGATAGTAAGTTCAAGGCCAGCCTGAACTACATAGTAAGACCCTGTCTCAAAAAACCTAAATGAATAAATGAATGAATGAGTGAATGGATGGGCTGGGGATGGAGCTCAGTGTAAAAGTTCTAGGTTCAATCTCCAGTATCACAAAAAAAAAAAAAAAAGGAAAGGATAAATTCCACAATTTATATTACTTTATAGTTTTCTTATTTGAGAAACTATAAGGTTATACTTATCATTATCACCATGGTAGAAAAAGTGATTCAAAAAGGGTGGTAATGAGTCAATGTCTGAGACATATTAAATGTGTCATATGTGTGCTATGGCCAACAAGGAATATACACACACACTTTTGACAAAGAAAAAAGATGCATGCATGTCAAGATAGATTTGGGTTTCTGAGTATATACTCAACAGTTGAAATCACAGATAGGTAAGATAGCTAAGGAAGAATGAAGATAGAAAAAAAATGAATACAAAATAAGGTACAAAGAAAAATCAATGATTTAAGAAATGGTCAGAGAATAAAGACAAAGCCAAAGAAAAATTTAATTACTAGAATTTCAGAAAGGAGTCAACAATCATGTTAAATATATCCATGATCGGAAATCAAGTAAGATACAAGATGAAAAGAGGACCTCGTAATTTGGCAATTTAAACTCAATGATAAGCTGCATAGTGCAGTTTCAATGAATGTATTTAGCTCAGTCAGATCAGAATATAAAAACTAAATAGATGATTAGGAAATTAAAACAATACTACTTCTCAAGGAAATCTGTGAAAAGAGGCAAGCAGTAAGGCATTATCCAGGAAAGAATTTTTATTTTTAAGATGACAGATACTTGAAAACATGTATTTGGTGGGGACAGACACCTAGCAGCAGAGGAGATACAAAAGAAAGATTTCCCAACTGACATACTGAAATCACTAAAGATGACAAGAGTGGCACATGCCTGTAATCCCAGCTACTCAGGAGGCTGAGGCAAGAGGATCATAAATTCAAGGCCAGCTTAGGCAAAGATCCTATCTCAAAATAAAACATAAAAGGGACTGGAGATCACCAGGCATAGTAGCACACACTTGTAATCCCAGCACTTGAGAAGCTGACCCAGGAGAACAGCTGCCAAGTTCCAGGATAGCCTGGGCTACACAGTGGGTTCAAGGCCAGTCTGAACTACATAGCAAGACCCTGTCTCAAAAAAAGAAAAAAAAAAAGACTGGGAATGTAGTTCAGTAGAAGAATGACCCTGGCTTCTGTTCTCAGTATTGAAAAAAAAAAAAGTAAAACAGAATGCCAGAAGAGATGGAAACAGAGACATATAGCCTTGGAAAGAGAAGTACACTTTGCCCAGAGATAGAGACTATGGATGACTCTCGGTAGTTTTGAAATGTTTACTTTCTCAAAAAGAAGATTAAGAATAGAGGTAGACTGCCCATATAGTAATTAAATACAAATTCCAAGTAAAAAAAAAAATCTTAATTTCAAATCCTGAAACAGCTCTAGTTTAGTTTCTACCTAACTGCAAACAATCTAACTGTAGTGACAATTATTACAATAGGTAAAAGACTTCTATGTGGTCTCTATTTTTATAAATATAAAAAGAAAATCAGGGCTGGAGTATAGTTCAGCAATAGGGACCTTGTATAGCATGCACAAGTCCCTGGGTCTGACACCAGTACTACAAAAACAGATATATAAGAGCCGGGGCTTTAGCTCAGTGGTTCCACCACCTGCCTCACAAGCGTAAGGTCCTGAGTTTGATCCCCATACCCAAAATAAAAAAAAAAAAAAAACAGATATATATACACACACACATACATCCAAAAGGCAAATGGAAGATGCTATGGTTTCTATCTAGACGCTCCCCCCCAAAGCCTCATGTGCTCGTAGGTGGGGCTTTTGGGAGGTGATTGGATCATAGTGGTGTGATACTCATTCAGTGGATTAGTCAGTCCATTTATTAATTTAAAACTAAATATGATTTAGAAGGCAAAGTTTGGTTGGAGGAGGTTGGTCACTGGGGACATAGACTGGAAGAATATATCTCCCTCCCTCCTCTTTGATCTCACTCTGCTTCCTGCCTGCCATGCCATGAGCAATTCTCCTCTGCCATACTGCCCTGCCTTGGAGCCAACTATGGACTCAAACCCCTACACACTCTAAGCCAAAATAAACTTTTCCTCATGTAAGTTGAAGCTATCGGGTACTGTGTCTCAGCAACGAGAAAGTAACTAAGATAGAAGATATGTCTCCTCAAATATCAAAGAACAACAGTGTATATGTGACCTTCCATGACCAGAAAACTGTTTTGAACAATCAATGTACTTGAAACTCCTATTAAAATGGTCCATGGCATTGATACCTGAGACTTGACTCGTCTTGTTCTCTTAGGCAGAATGTTCATCCTGGTGCCTGGCTCTGGGGAAGTCTGGATATCAGCACTGAGAATCTCAGGTTCCACTTTTTCCTTAAGATCTAAATTAGGCATTTGTACACCCTAAAAGATCAGAGCACAGAAAGAGAACAGATTCACTGATAAGAAATATGTTTAAGCATCAGTGAAGTACTAAATTTCCAGTAAATCCCTAAAGTTACATGAAACCAGGTGGCAACTTCCTCTCAAATTGATCTTAGACTGAAGGTAATCCCTATCAAAACCTCAACATCCAATTTTTTGTGTGTACAAACTGAAAGCTGATCCTAACCTATATGTGGAAACAAACTGTGTCAAAATTTTGAAAAAACTATTAAAGAGGACATACTACTGAACATCAAATTTTACTACAAAGCTACAGTACACAGTATGGTATTAGTGTTAGAGTAGACATTTACAGTAGCTCCCCCCTTACCTATGTACTTAATTCTTATGTATCCAGTGGATGCCTGAAATTACTGACATTACTAAATCCTATTTATATTGTTTTTTCTATAAATGTGCACCTATGATGTTTAATTTCTAAATCAGGCACAGTAAGACATTAGCAACAATAATAAAATAGAAAAATTTTAACAAGATAATAAAATTAATGTTAAATGTTGTTGGTCCCACTCAAAATATTTTATCATATTTTCATCTTTCACCTAGCTTTTCTTTGGCACACTAATTTCCAACAACACTACTCTTGTACTTTAAGGCTATTATCAAGTAAAATAAGGGGTACTTGAACATAAGCACTGTAAAACTACAAGAGTCAATCTAATAACTAAGATGGCCACTAAGTAACTAAAGGGCAAAGACAAAGAAATGATTCACATCCAGCATAGAAGAGTACAAAATTCTACCATCTTAACCTGAATGGCATGAAATTTGGAAAGTTATAAATTATTTATTTCTCAAATTTTCCATTTAATATTTTCAAACTATGGTTAACCAGGATAACTAAAACCTAGGAAAATGAAACCACAGGTGAGAAGAGAACTATTATAGATCAATGTTACAATAAACTCACAGATTTATGGTCAAGTTAATTTTCAACAAAGGTGCCAAGGTAACACAATGGGAAAAAACAATCTTTTAAAAGAAATGGACCAAGGACATAGCTCAATGGTGCTGTGCCTGCCTGGCAAGTACAAGGTCCTGAGTTTGATCCCCGATACTGAAGGAAAAAAAAGATAAGAAATGGTGCCAGGCATGATAGCACACACTTGTAATCTCAGCACTGAGAAGGGTGGGGCTGGAGGATCGCTGCAACTTCAAGTCCAAGGCTGGGCTACATAGTGAGTTCAAGGCCAGTCTGAACTACATAGCTAGACCCTGTCTCCAAAAAAACAAAAAATAAAATGAAATGAAATAATAATAATAGTAATAATAATAGTAAATAGTTTCAAATGTGTCCTGTGAAAAGTGATAATAAACACATGCACTACATACTTATGGAAGCACTGAGATGAAGCCCTTGTAATTCCACCACACTGGACTTCTCTCTGTAGTAACAGAGCCACCATTCCAATCCCTAAAAATTAGTCCATCATTGACAAAAGAATCAACTATTCTTATGACTTGTACATATCGTCTGCAAAGCCATCTTTTAGTTTATCACTTTTCACAGGATACATCTGAAACTAAGTTTAACTTTCTTTCTAGAGAATTTAAGGACATGGGAGTTTTCAAAACTAAGTTTTTACTTAAATGATATTTTTCCTTCTAATTTTAATCTTCAGTGTTGTCTGCCATTAATGGTATTTTGTCACCAGGTTTTTGGCATTTTTTTCATAAGTAAAATGATACAAATTTATTTTATTTTTTGCTTGGTTCTTTTAGACAGGGTCTCACTACATAATTGAGTCTGGCCTTGAACTCACTATGTAGCCCAGGCTGGTCTCAAACTTGCAGCAATCCTGCCTCAGCCTCTGCGGTGGTGGCATTATAGGCATAGATCACCACACCTTACTAATTTATTTTAATATATTAGCTGTAAGTTTTCTATGTAGTAAATATGCTTATGTAAATTTGAATTTTTCAGCTGCATTGGAATTATTTCTATCAATTACAATCACCCTTGAAAATTGTATGCAAAATCTATATTTGAATAAATTTCCTCTTAATTGGAATGCTTCAGTGTTGAAATCAAAGTTCCCCATTTCCCAAAACTGTGACCATTAGATAACAATATGTACTAATAATTGACAATGTAATATAAGTGGTTTTTCTTAATGTTAATCTTTCTCATCTTTATACCTCGTACTGTTGAGTCATCTCATCTTTGTATAACATTACCATTCCTTTGTGTTAATTTGGTTTTTATGTTTCTTTCACTTCCCTCTGTAGTAACAGCATGTTCCTAATTCCTAAGAAATGATGGATGATTCAGTATGTAAAGATTTTTGTCATGCACTGCCATTGTGAAATACTTTGTGCTTCCTATTTACTTTGTTGTTTTATTTTTTGGTTATGTTTTGAAATACAGTCATGTTTTATTTTTAAAAAAATAACAGTAGGGGCCGGGTATGTAGCTCAGTGGTTTCACCGCCTGCTGCGCAAGCGCTAAGGACCCAAGTTTGATCCCCGGTACCAAAAAAAAAAACCAGAACAAAACAAAAAAACAGTAAGTAAGTAAAAGAAATGGTGCTGGTACAAGTGACTATTCATAATACCGCCCAAACGAATTTGTATCTTTACCTCACTCTATATATGCAAAAAAAAAAAAAAAAAAGAATTCATGTAAAATACATTACAGAACTAAACATAAAAGTTAAAATTACAAAACTTCTAAGTAAAAACAAAGAAGAAAAATCTTTGTGACTCTGTGTTAGGAAAAGTTTTTTGTTCTTGTTTTATAAGCCAAATCTTATTGTACGATTCCTTCTTCATGAAATTTCACACAAAGGTAAAACTACAGAGCCAGAAAGCACACAGCCTGAGTCTGTAGGTAGAAGAAACTACCAGGGAATATTAAAGAATTTTCTGACAGGGAGAAGTGTTCTAAAACTAGATTGTGATGATTGCTGCATAAATGTATAAATTCATTACAACTTAAACTATGGCTAAGTCTATAGTACATAAATAACATGCCAATAAAGCTGTTAAAAACAAGTAGCTGAAACAAATAGGAATTTTTCAAAAAGCTGAAATCATGATTTATTTTAAATAAATAAAACATTCTTTTACCTACTATCCTTTATCTTGTAAACCACCAAAAATAGTTATGATTTTTAAACAAAAATATACAGTTTGCTTTCCCATATTTCAGTTCCCAGAGAAATCAATTCCATCTTCCTATACATAAATAATTACTAACTTGTGGTAAACACAGTTTACAGTTGGAAAACAGGACGTATCAACCCTAAGAGCAATGATGCTTCTTACCATAAGGCTCACACCAGACTGGAAAAGTTCATATGGGTAGAGAATTCTTTCATAGTGGGACTTCAAAAGGGACCCAGTTCCTTTTCCTGGCAGATACCCCAAGCGGCTACCCACTTTAGACCATTTCTTCTCTTTGGTGACCATTTCAAAACCTCCTTTGCTGGCAACAATCTGAAAACAAGGTTTATGTTACTTAAGGGAAGACTCAAATAACATTTTTTTTTTTTTTGGTACCGGGGATTGAACTCGGGACCTTGCGCTTGCGAGGCAGATGGCAGAACCACTGAGCTAAATCCCCGGCCCTCAAGTATCTTAACTCTTATATCTTGTTTGCTTGCTAAATACAAAAATTACTCTAGGTTTAGATTTCAAATTTTCTTTCAACAAATAAGTGACCAAACTGACACTTGTCAACATTTAAAGTAAGAGAGACAATTTTTTTTTGGAAATCTTAAACTCTAAATGTTAATAAATGTTATACCTACCTTCAAACAAGATATTCAAAGAAAACTAAACATACATATACACTCTATATCATCAAGGAACTAATAATTTGAAATAAGAATAAGAAATAGACATGAAAATAAATACAAGTTATATGATACAAGATACAAGTTTGAAATTAGAAAATATACCAAGAAATTTACAGAATTTAACAAAAATGTCAAGCAAACTATGGATTCAGGTGACAGTTCTGAAAAACTTTAAGGATAAGAGGGCTGGACTGTAGTTCAGCAACAGAGCAATCCTGGGTTCAATCTCCAGCATTACAAAAAAAGGGGGGAAAAAAGTTTTATATGGAAGACTATGAAGGAATGGCAAGGAAAGATGAAACTGCAATAGACTTTCTGACACATAGCACAAGATACAGAAGATATAGTAAGGAAGGAGGTGATCAGATACATTGGCCTATGTGGCTGAATGCTCACATCAAGCCAACCACTATAGAAAACATAGGTATCAAAGCCCCCATCTTCCTACAACTGAAAATGTACATCCCACCAAAAATACGGGCAGTTTCCAGTTTCACTGTGAAGAGAATTAAGAGGACTATGACACAGTATTTCAAATCAAACATTTCCCCTATATGAATATACACTACTGTATTTTACTACATGGAAAAACTGAAAACAGAATTACTGTATGGTCCTCAATTTCACTTCTGTATGTATAATTACAATTACTGAAACTAGAGACCTGAACAACACCATCAGTCACAAGAATCAAATAACAGAAACAACTCAAATGTCCACCAACAGATAAATGAACAAAATGATATATATCAAAATTAGAATATTGTACAGCTTTAAAGACATTCCAATACATCCTATAACATGGATGGAACTTGAAAACGTAATTGAAATAAAAGACAAAACAATGAATGCTGTGTAATTATATAATGTACCTAGAATAAACAAATTCATAGACACAAAGTATAATAGATGTCACTAGGGGTGGGAGTAGGGGAGTTCTGGAAATGGGCAGTGGTAATGACTGTACTACAGTGAATGAACTTATTGCCACTGAACCATACAGCTGAAAATGGTTAAAACTGCCAGACATGGTGGGGCATGCCTATAATCCCAGCACTCAGGAGGCTGAGGGAAGATGACTGCTGTGAGTTCAAGGCCAGGCTGAACTACATAATGAGACTCTGTTTCAAAAACTACAAAAAAAATAAAAGTGAGGATCCTTGACTGCTTTTAAATTTCTTCCACAGTATTTAGTCACTTTCTCATTGCTGGGACAGTATACCCAACACCCACAACTTAGAGGAGAGGTTTATTTTGGCTTATGTTTTTAGTCCATGCTGGCCACCTCCAAGGCAGGAAGCCATGGTGTAAGGATGTGGCAGAGGAAAGCTGCTCACCTCATCACAACCAAGAAGCAGAGTGAAGGGAGAAGCTGGGAAGGGAGATATGCCCTTCCAGGTCACACCCCCAGTGACTGGCCATATTCCCACCAGACCCTACCTCCTAACAGCAAGTCAGCTATAATACCCCTGTAATCCAGTCACTGTTCAAAAGCTCTGCCTGCTGAGCACATGAGGCTTTGGTTAGGAGGGTCATCCATAACAGTACTTATCACCTAATTCAGGTATTCATGGGGTTTACTATCTCTCTTCCTCCAACAGAACACAAGCTCAATGAGGGAAAAGGTCTTTGTTCATGGATGTATCCCAAGCATTTAGAGTACTAGCTGGCAGTACGGAAACACTGAAAAAAATACATGTAGAATGAAAGGTACTGATTAAAATAAAGGCAGGCCTTTATTTTTATTTTGTTTTGGGGGGGGTTTTTTGGTACCGGAGATCGAACTCAGGACCTTACACTTGCAAGGCAGGCACTGGAACCACTGAGCTAAATCCCTGCCCCTTTATTTATTTATTTATTTATTTTTGAGACAAGCTGTTGTATCTAGCTAGGCTGGCCTCTAACTCACAATAATCCTCCTGCCTCAGCCTTCTGAGTACTAGGATCACAGGTGTGCACCACCAGGCCTGGCTCTACATAGCCCTTTATCTAAACCATCTTTATTGTGTCTTCTCTGTAATACAAAATTGGAAAAATAATTTTTTCCTCTTTGTAATTTTCCCCCTGGTTAGCTCTTATCAACAGAGATGGTTTCTCTGAAGGTATAATAGGAGGTGCTGAAGAATTAAGATGTTCAGCTAATTTTTATGAATTTTAAAAAGTTAAAATGCAGCTGAGGATATAGCACAGTAATAGAACACTTGCCTACCATGTACAAGGCCCTAGGTTCAATCCCAGCACCTAATAAAACCAATAGTTAAAATCCTAAATTTTGCTATGTATATTTTATTACAAAATAAACCTCTCCTCCTTTAAATTGTGGGTGTTAGGTATACTGTCCCAGCAATGAGAAAGTGACTAAATACTGTGGAAGAAATTTAAAAGCAGTTAAGGATCCTCATAATCAGCAGAATGAGAACAAACCGAAGTATTACACAGTCATGGCAAGTCTAAGGTGAAATTTGAGGGCAGCAAGTGTAGTTCATTGATAGAGCATTTATCTAGCACGGGTGTAATTCAGTGACAGAACATTTACCTAGCACGTGTGAGGCCTTAGGTTCCATCCCCAGTACCACCAAATTAACAAACAAATGTAAAATTTGACTTGAAAGGCTTGAGAGAGGTAAAGAAATCAACCTAGCAGATATATTAGGGAACAACCAGAGCAAAGATCCCAAGCTGGAAGCATGCTAGTGTGCAACAATAATGAAGCCAATGTGTCTGAAGCAACAAGCAGAGAGAAGAAACAAGCAGAAAGGAATTAGGAGTCAATAGCGGCTTCTCAATCTATCCCAGGAGCAAGGCAAAGGGAATTTCACAAATGACACTGGCAGAAGAAAGTTACAGATGCACAGCTGACCTTAAAAACCAGTCTAGATTTGAGCAGGATGACTCCAAGAAGAAAATGAAACTGACAGATGATGTGATTGATAAATATACTGAGAGATTTGTACTTTTACTGGGAAAGTTTGAAAATAAGCTTTGGAGGGCCGAGGATTTAGCTCAGTGGTTTCGCCGCCTGCTGCGCAAGCGCAAGGACCTGAGTTCGATCCCCGGTACCAAAAAAAAAAAAGGAAAATAAGCTTTGGATGGTTACAATGAAAACTAAACAAATGAAAAACAGGACTGAGATTATTAACTCTAAGAAAATAACAACTGATATAAGAAATCACAGTCAGGGCCAGGGATTTAGCTCAGTGGTGCCGTCGCTTGTGGCAAGGTCCCAAGTTCGATCCCCCGTACCGAAAAAAAAAAGAAATCATAATCATAGAACTCTACAAGGCTCAGATACAAATAATATTTATATTTATGCAGTCACAGTAATAAATTTTGATTAGTAAAATTTAATATTCAACTAGTTGAGTATGGAGGCACATAACTAATCACAGTATTCAGGAAGGTGTGACAGAAGGATTGTAAGTTCAAGGCCAGTCTAAGTATCTTTGGTTTTTTTTTGTTTGTTTTTTTGGTTAAATTCTTTTACTGGTACATTTTAAATATACAATATGTTTACATTTATCATTGGGTGCTTGTACGTGTACATGATGTATCTTGGTTCTTATTTTTTTCCCCATTACCTGTGCACCCTTCAGCCCCTCTACCCTTCCCTATTTACATAGACTTTGTTTCCATTTTTTTCTTTTCTCATAATTTTTCCTTTCCCTTCTTTCCTTTCCCCTTCCCCTCCCACTTCCCCTACCCCTTTGGACCTTTTCCTCCTATTTCAAATTATCAATTATTCATTTTAATCGTTTTAATCCTTATTTACACTTTCAGTTTCTCACATAGAGAAACTATTCAGTATTTACACCTGTGTCCTATTTATTTCACTTAAGAGTATGCAGGCCAGTCTAAGTATCTTAAGGAGACCTGTCTCAAAATAAAATTTTCAAAAGGGGCTAGAGGCTGGGCCTGGTGGCACAGGTCTGTAATCCCTGCACTCTGGGAGGCTGGGGCAGGAGGGTCACAAATTCAAGCCCAACCTGGGCAACTTAGCAATTTAGGGAGACCCTATCTCAAAACAAAACACAACACAACACAACACATCTAGAGGGATACAGCTGTAGCTCTGTGTAAAGATACAAAGGGCCTAGGTTCAATCTCCAGTACTGGAAAAAAAAAGAAAAGGGGAAAGTTCAGGGGCTGGAGCTGGAGCTGGAGCTGTACCTCGGTGGTAGAGCACTTGAACAGCATATGTGAGGTCCTGGGTTTAATCTTGAATATTGCAGGGAAAAATAAAAATTTATGTAACTATACTACCAAGGAATAGGAAACAAAGATCTCTTAAACACACTCCTTGCCTCTAACAGTAGAAAATCAGTATATTATACTTAGAACTAAAAAATGAAATACCATCATAAGCCTATTATTTGGAAATACAGAGATCAAAATCAGAAACAGCTAAATGAACTGAAAGTGATTAGCTATGAGAAGTGGAAATGGGTAAAAATGGGAGAATGTTGGTTTTAATTTTAGGCCTTATTTTAGAAAAGTGGATGACTTTAACAAAAAAAATATTTTTCTTTTTCAGTATTGGAGACTGAACTCAGGGTCTTCCTATTAAGCTATATCTCCAGCCCCTTTTTTATTTTGAGGCAGGGTCTTAGCTAAATTGTCCAGGGTGGGCTTGATCTTGTGATCCTCCTCCTTCAAACTTCCAGAGTGCTAGGACTACAGGCATGTGCCACCAGACCCAGCTAGAAGGGCCTTTTTCATTTTTTTGAGACAAGATCTTGCTATGTAGTCCAGGCTGGCCTCAAACTCGAGGTAATCCTCTTGCCTCAGCCTCCCAAATGCTGGGATTATAGGCGTGTGCTACCATACCAGGATATTTGCCTTTTCATCAGAAAAACCATTAATATCAAAGTATAAATTTCAGAAATTACTTATTCTAAATAATTATTCTAGCAAATTACAAGGATATTTATAAAAATAAGTATGTGCAATTTTTGGCTCCGATTATCACAACAGTATTTTTATTAATGATAATATAATTTTTTTTTGTTACTAGGGATCTAACTCAGGACCTTGCACTTGCAAGGCAGGTGGCAGCACCACTGAGCCAAATCCCTGGCCCGATAAAATAATTTTTGAAAATATTTTGTATTTTATTCATGCTACATAAATCAAACATATTTACAATCTTTATAGCAAAACTCAGTAGATAAGTTTTGACTGAATAGAAACTTCAAAAAAGAGAATTTTTTTTTCCAGTCCTGTTTTTTTGGTTTTTTATGAGACAAAGTCTCACTATGCTGTCAAAGCTGGTCTTGAATTCACTATACAGTCCAGGCTGGCCTTTAACTTGCCTGCCTCAGCCTCCCAAGTGCAGGATTACAGGCATCTACCACCAGGTCCAGCTTTGTCTTGTCGTTTGAAATAGGGTCTCACTATATAGGCCAGGCTGGCCTCAAAACTGCTATCTTTCTGCCTCACCCTCCCAGTATTACAGGAGTGTGTAACCACACCCAGCTAAGAGAATTCTTAAAACTAATTTTTATCCTAATGGTTCCCTACAAAAAGACACAATCTCACCCCTCAAGTTTCCTATAAATTGCTCTTTGTTATCACAGGTTTTCATTTAACTGTACTAGATTACTCTCTGAACCATGCTTAATTACTGGTATCATTACCTGACTGACAAAAACAGCCTAAAGCAGTGGTGGAGAACCTATGGCACACATGCCACAGTGGGCACACAGAGCCCTCCGCCAGCACCTGAGCCAAGTCACCCCAGCCAAGGCTTGACAAATTATCAGCATACATACAACAGTGAGATCACAGTAACTGTCCAAAAGCATGTCAAATGAAAACTTTTACCTTTCAATAAAAAACTGTATCACTGAAAGCTCTGTTACTGTGTTTTCTTTTAAGATAAAAGATGTTCGTGTATGAGTTGTTTTTTTCTGAACTAAAACTTCTGTATTCAGGTTTAATTGAACTGTTGGCACTTTGTGATAAGTAAGTGGATTTGGGGTTGCAGTTTGGACACTCAGTATCTAAAAGGTTCACCATCACTGACCTAAAACTAGAGCCACGGGCAGTGGTGCGTACCTGTAATTCCAGCACTTGGGAGGCTGAGGCAGGAGGATCACAGCGAGTTCTAAATCAGCCTGGGCTACACAGTGAGTTCAAGGCCAGCCTGAACTACATAGTAAGAACATGTCTCAAAAAATCAAAAATCAAAATAAAAACAAAAATAGCCTAAAGCTATATGTTAGCATGAAACCATACTTTCTAGTATTTTTAGTAAGAGAATTCTAACTTGACATTAATTTTAAAATATATAAGCCAGACATAGTGGCACACGCCTATAATCCCAGCACTCCGGAGGTTGAGGCAGGAGGATCACCGCAAGATCCTGTCTCAAAAAAATTAGAAAAATAATTTAAATATGAGGGCAGACATGGTGGTACACATTTGTAATCCCAGCTACTAAAGAAGCTGAGGCAGAAAGATCAAGGAAAACCTGGGCAACTTGGCAAGACTTTGTCTCAAAATAAAAATTTTTAAAAGGGACGGGGATATAGTTCAATGATGTTGCACTCTAGGTTCAAGCTCTAGTATCACAAAAAATAATAAATACGAATTCAAATATGGGCTGAGGAATATAGCTCAGTGACACAGTACTCACCTGCATGCATGAGGTCCTGAGTTCAATCCCAGAAAGCTGTTTTCACCCACAAGTCAGAGCAACCACAGGTTTTTATAACTGTATTCAAAAATATGTTTTCAGAGATTCTTAACTCTGTTGCAGGTCAGTTGGTTTTGTTCACATCAGGGAATGTAATGTTACAAAAGTAACATATATTTAGGCAAAAATTAGTCTAAAGTTTTCACGTTTAAATTTCTGAGCTAGTATTCACTCTACTTCTACTAGATAATAATGGCATTAGCCATTTACATTACTGTACTTATATGTTAACTAAACTGTCATTAATAAAACTAATATATAGCACATGAGAATGCTGTAACATGAATCCTCTTAATACACCAAGAATTTTCGATTTAGAAGTAGAAAAGAAGGGCCGGGGATTTAGCTCAGTGGTATCGCACCTGCCCGCAAGCACAAGGTCCCGAGTTTGATCCCCAGTACCAAAAAAAAAAAATCAAAAAGAAGTAGAAAAGAAATGACAAGCTCAACAAAGGATATTACACACTCAGCACATAGCGATATTAGGAGTTAGGCATACTGTGCATCACACAGCCAACTAATCTTAGTCATTAAATATTAATCTCATAATAAATTATAAAATGCCTTTTAAGGATAACTTTAAGGTGCATCATTTCCATCTCTTTATATGTGCATTTCATTGTCAAACAAATTATACATTGGAAACAATGATTCCCACCAAGTTTATTTGAAATTCTTAATTTCATAAATTCACAAATCTCTGCTTAATTTCTTTGGGGGTTAGGGGTATTAAACCAGGAATCCAACCCAGTGCCTCACACACGCCAAGCCTGCACTTTACCTTCTGTTCAATTTCTAAACCAAGCACAAGCCTTACCTTGCTCAATGCATAAAGATCCAGGATTTTTCTCTCAACCACAGGGATCTTCAAAGTAGATCCTTGAAGTTCCCAAAATTTTGCCAGTTGATCCAAAAAGTCCAGTCTCACCCTGGTCATTGCCTATTATTAAAATATAGAAATCAGAAATAGGAAATATTATGGTTAAAAATAAATGAATCAATCTTAACATAATAAAAGTGCTCATTTCTCTAAAGAAATTCAAAGACTTCATTATTGCTTAGTCCACCCCTGTAAAAAAAAAAAAGCCCATAGTAAAGAGACAAAATATTAATATTTCATTAGGGCAAAAAAGTTACTCTAACATATATAAAAAGTTCTCCTGAGTATCCAAAGCATTTTTTTGAAGGTGGCTTAACTTATGCAACCATAAAACCAGATTTTTGTTTTCCCAGTACTGGGGATCGAACTCAGGACCTTGTGTTTGGCAGGCAGGCACAGCGCCACTGAGCTAAATCCCGGGCTAGCAAACCAGATTTTTCCAAGTCTCTGAGTGTTCTAATTTTGTCAATTCACCTGCATGTAATATTCACATTTTAGGTGCATCAACTCTACCCTCACTGATTTTATGGATAGATAGATAGGTAGGACAATATACATAAAATCTCGGAAAATGTTTTGAGAGCATAGGGGGGAGGGGGAGCTTAGCATGGTGTAACAAGTCTTAGCTACCAAAAGATCTTTTGCACTCAGAAATGGTTTTATTACCACACCGAAAAATCTTCTGTAAATCTGGCAGACAGAGAAAAAAACCAGTAATATTTAAACAGATTTCACTTTGGAAAATTTAAGAGAAAGCAGTGGTGTTTTGCTTTGTTTTTTCAATACTGGGGATTGAACCCAGGGCCTTCACATTCAGCTAGCTACATGCCCAGCCCTTTTATGTATTTTTATTTTGAAACAGGGTCTCACTAAATTATCCAGGCTGGGCTCAAACTCACAATCCTCTAGCCTCAGCCTCCCAAAGTACTAGGATTACAGGTATGTAACACCATAACTGGCCTCAGTTGTTTGCTGGGGGGGGCGGGGGACGTGGGCGGTGTTTGTTCTGGTTCTGAGGATCAAACCAAGAACCTTGCACCTGCTACAGGTTCCACCACTGATCTATACCCTCAGCCCAAGAGAAATTACAATACTATTTAAAGAGAGATCATAATAAACAGTCCTGGAAAAGTTCAGTTTAAACAAGAAACAACAACAAACAGACATAATAGTGCAGTGGTACATGCCTATAAATCCAACACTCACGTGCTGGCTTCAACAGCACATATACCAACACTCAGGAGGCTGGGTTGTGAGTTCAAGGCCAGCTTGAACTACATACCAAGACTCTGCCTCAAAAACAAATAAAATCTTTGAAAACTAGATTTTATATTAGAATTTAAAAATTTATGGTCCCAAAGGCCACGGGAGACAGATTAAAAAGAGATTACCAAAAAAAAATAAAAATTAAAAAAAAAAGAATAGTAAACATTGAAGAAAAGAGAATTTAAGAATTCCAAGTCTCTGAACCTAAACACTGGATACTTGCACTATAAAAAAAACAGCAAGAAATAGTTTCCCAAAATAAATTAAGTGAAAAAAAAAGTACTTTAATCAATCTTTTAAAAATCAGACACTTCCTCCAAACATCAAGTAACTATTGTATTCAATCCTAATACAAACTAATACAAACTCTGGACCCTGGTACAAGAGTTTCTCGAAGTTCTCTACTCAGACCCCTGCATAAAGAACCAGGAAGAAGAAAAGGCTATATTGAACACTCACCTCAAGTTCATTCAGGCGCTGCACTCTAGGAGTAAAACGAAAGCTTTTTACTTCACATGCAAATGGTGGTTGCCAATCCTAAATAGAAAGAATTTTTTTTATAGAATTTTTTTTAAAAACAGTGGTGTATAATAAGCAAATGACACATCATTTATCCCCTTAATTTAAGGGTTAAATTGCCACAAATCATGGTGACAACAGATCAGCTTATAAAATCTTTTTATCTTTTTTTGGCAGTACTAGAGATTGAATCCAGAGCATTGTACAACTGAGCAACATCCCCAGCCCCTCCTCCCTGCTTTTTTGTTCTTGTTATTTTTATATTTTGAAACAAGGTCTCATAAATTGCTCATACAGGAATTGAAGTTATGATCCTCCTGTCTCAACCTCCCTAAATGCTGGGGTTACAAATATGCTCCACCAACCCTGGCTAAAATTTCCTTTATTGTAGACAGGAAGAACAGCATTTTTGCATATAAAGCAATTTTAATTTTAATATTAGAGAACTAATCTTCAAATCTCACCAGTCTCACTATTTAGGGCCCACAATTACGCTTTCCCAAATTACTCAAATAGATTTCAGTGAGTTCACATACCATAAAAAACAGTATCCAGCAACATACAGATTTAGCAAACTAAAAGGAAAAAATTGAAAAAGAAAAAAAGTAAAATTATAAAAAGATTATAAAAAGGTATTTTTCGGACTGAGGACGTAGCTCAGTGGTAGAGCAATTTCCTAGCACAGATGAAGCCCTAAGTTTGAGTCCCAGCACCACAAAAAAAATTTTGAAAAGTATTCATGAGGAATCAGGCATGATGATGAAAAACTGTGACCCTAGCTATTAAGGAGGCTGAGGCAGGAGGATAACAAGTCTGAGGCAAGTCTGTGCAACTCAGACCCTAAATTAGAAATTTTAAAAAGGGCTGGGATGCAGTCAGAGCAAATCACATAAGTGAGGTCCTGGGTTCAATCCCCAGCAATAAAAAAGAAGAAAAAAAAAAGTATGTCACACAGAGGAAGGAGAACAGCTTGAGCCCATGAGTTTAAGACCAACCTGAGCAATGAAGACCCCTTCTCAAAAAATAAAAAGTATTTGCCTATTTAATTCTAGCACTCTGGGAGCCTGAGGCAGAAGGACCAGAAGTTCAAGCCCAGCCTGGGCAACTTAGCAAGACTAATACAACTTTTTGTCTCAAAATAAAAAGGCTAGGGATGAAGCTCAGTGAAAAGATTCTGAGTTTAAAACCTAGTATCACACACACACAAAAAAAATTTATGTACAGTGGTGCCTCAGCTCGTGAATGATTTTGTTTGTGAACAATTTGGTTTGCAAACAGAACCATTTGCAGAATTTTGTTTTTGTGAACTCTGCATTGGGTGACAAACATTTCCTGCACAAACACAAACAGGGTCATCTTTACCAGAACTGTGGAATGAATTAGGTTTGTGAACTGAGGTACCACCATATTGAGATAATTTTTTAAATATATGTGTGAATATAAGCATTTTAGAGTATATGTTTTACAAAAGTTTTGTCAAAGCTCTGGGATTACAGATGTACACCAAGCTCAATTTTCTAACAGTAAGGAAACCCACAGAACAGAGACAATTTCCAGAGTGTGATATAACTGAGATCATATATTTCAAGTGGGGGTTCTAGAGACCTAGATGGGCGGGGGGGAGGGGGGGGTGAGACAGGGTCTTGTTACACAATTTAGGTTGACCTTGAACTCACTGTAGCCCAGGCTGGCCTCAAACTGGCAGCAATCGTCCTGGCTTCCTCTCCCAAATGCAGGGATTACAGGCATGCACCACCACAGATGGCTAGATTTGATTTAAATAGTAAGCCCATTTAAAGACATGAGCAGGGCCGGGAATTTAGCTCAGTGGTTTTGCTGCCTGCTGCACAAGTGCAAGGACCCGAGTTCGATCCCCAGTACTAAAAAAAAAAAAAAAAAGACATGAGCAGTAGTTCAAAAAAAAAAAAATGTCCCTTACCTTGGAAACAAGAAATCCTCCAATAATAAAAAACTTTACTTGTAAACTAGTTCTACTTTCAGTAACAATGTGACTGACATCCACAGAAAAAGTGGATTATTTCAGCCTTTTTTTAAGTAATAAACACAACTTTTTTTTAACCATTAAGGAGCCCTAAATAGAATTTCTAATAGCTGCAATTTCAGTACATGAACATATGATTTAGAAAAACTTGAATGTTTAAAAGGTTTGGTCAATATGAGGTAATTTTGATAGAGGAGTTAAGTGGAAGCTTTTAAAGGATGACAATACATACCATTATAGCAATTATTTATTAATCCTTTCCTTAAAACTTATAGTGTATAATCCTAATAAAATTCATTCAGCAAACTCATTCACCTAACAGCATAGTGGGAGCAGGACTTCTGTTTTAGAATCAGAAAATTAATCTGGGTTCAAAATACACTTTGCCACTTGCACAAGATCACCCCAAGTGTTTTAGCTTATCCAGAAACTCCTCTCTGTAAAATGAGTTTTATTTACCTACTGGGTCTTCAAAGATTAAACGAAACAATCTCTAGATACTAAATTAACTCCTCCTCTTCTCCCCTCCCATCTAAGCTTTTAATTCACTATGGTATGTATTCCCGTGGTAAAGTACTCGGTTGCGAGTGTAGAGGTTTTCTAAATGCAATACACATGACACTGGTTTAGTTTGATCTTAACTACCAATAGACAAAACATAAAGCAAAATTTCTCTAAGAATTACTGTCTATTCAGGCCCAGCCTGGGCAACTTCGTAACTTAGCTGAGTGTCAAAAAAGAATAAAGGCTTGAGGATGTAGCTCAGGGAAAAGGTCCCTAGTTCAATCCCCAGTACTAAGGGGTTAAAAAATTCATAGAAAGGGACAGGGATTTAGCTCAGCGGCTGCCTGGCAAGCACAAGGTCCTGAGTTCAATCCCCATAACAAAAAAAAAAAAATTTTTTTTTAATTCATAAAAAATGAACTACTAAGACAAAGGTTCACTGGGCCAGGGATTTGGCTCAGTGGTTCCACCGCCTGCCTTGCAAACACAAGGTCCTGAGTTCGATCCCTGATACCAAAAAAAAAAAAAAAAAAGACAAAGGTTCACAAACCAAATTTGCACTAAATATCTGAGTACTTGCTAGAAACACAGACTCCAGATTTTCCAAACCCAGAAATCCTAATTTTTTTTTGGCTTTGCCAGGAGTGGAACCCAAGGCCTTCCGGGAGCTAGGCAAGTGCTGCATCTCCATACCCTAGTTCTAGTCCTAAAAAGGCCTAGCGATCTGCTTTTTAACAAACATCCAGTTGACGCTAATGCAGGCTGTTCAGCATCATTTGGAAAGCACCACTTTAACAGGTCAAGAAAAAAACGTTTTGACCTTGAGCATATCACTCAACCTCTTAGGGAATTAATTAACTCCATACAAAGCTAGTATCTGTTTTCCTTACCTTAAGCTTTAAGAATTATAATTAACCAACCTATAGGCAAACCTAGTATTTCCAATAATTGCAATTCTAAAGTCTTTGCTCCTTAGTTCCTTCTATCAAGAGATTTTAACATTTTCTTCCACCTTCGTTATTTGCCAATTCTTCCTAAACCTCTAAACTTTAAAAATAATTGATGTTCTTCCATGGGGAAGACCTTCTCACAGCAGCAATTAGCCTGGAGTCTCGTCTAGCGATGTTATCCTAGAGGACTACTGGAGCTCGGATTACCTTTTAAGAAACCCTAGCCCTGAAATATGGCTTGCAAATGTTTGATAAACTAAGCACTATAGGGCTTGGATAAAGAAACGGCCGCTGGAATGGCAGTTTCTACTGACAAACCATAATGAGAATCGTACGTGACAGTATGGGGCATGTCAGGCCAGAACGTTTCAACCATTTTACCACCCAACGAGGCCTGAAGCCTTCTGTTACCCTTGCCTCCAATCCAAATAAAAGTCCCAGTTCTCAAGTTTTAGGGAGAAGAGATAACAAAAACACCACTTTCTCGCGTTAAGACTTGCCAGTATAAGATTGCAAAAGAAACCAAGGCAAAAAACAAAACAAAACAGAAACGTAGCCTCCAGTTGTCGGAAAAAAAGGAGAGCATTATGAAAGGACAGAAGTAACTGTACTTGTGCCAAGCGAATCGACTCCCCTTCTCCCTTCTCCCTCTTCGCAGACTCAGGTACCTTAGGGGGTCGGATTTTGCAGATGCCGGTTTTCTCAGCCAGAGGCCGGATGCGGCCGATAAAGCTGAGCGGATCTGTGAACTCCTCCCAGCTGGGCTCAAAGACTGGGCACTCCGGAGGTGGCACGAACTCCGCCGCGTAGCCCCCCGGCCCCACGCCCGCCATGGCAAGAGCCAGGGACTCCTGTGGGAAACAGGTGGACAAAGGTTAGCTGGAGTCCACCGAGCCCTTTCACATCGCCTCACGAGGGCCGAAAAGCATCTTCTTAGACAACTACGCTACACAGAAACACAGAATCGCCTCTTCCTGCTGTTTGTTATTGTTTCCTTCAGGGCTTTTCCTCTCAGATCCCGGACTTTCCGGAAGTTAATGTGCTGTCAAGTCCTTCCGCCACCGCAAAAAAACAGAGTCCCTCCGCGGAGAGGAGATGCCTCGATATATGACCTTCCCTTCTCTCCTTTCCCGTCGGCCCACCGTCGCTTTTCCTTTGCTGGCTCCCCAAGGTTCAGCGCAGTCCAAGAGCCCCCGGAGGGCCCCCGTGAAGCGCCGCGATCCTTGCCGAGTAGAGGACAGAGCTCGGCGGGACGCGCTTCCGGCGCGGAGGAATGCGTCGTGGCCTGAGGGCAGAGGTTCCGCTTCCGGTGGGGAGACCTGTCCTCTTTGTGCGTTAATGGTCGCCAAAATCTGAAGGGCCTGTCCTGCCCTTCCCCTGCCCCGCCTTTCCGCGCTTCTCCGTGATTTGGTGTGACGTACTTGTCTGCATTTGAGCAAGTAACTAACCTTTACAGCACTAACCTCTTTGTAATCCTTTGACCGCTAGTATTTACAAATACTCTCGGTCAATTTATACCCACCTCTTCGTGGCAAATTCGAATAGAACCCATTCCTTCTAAGAATTGCTCTTCATTCTACACGGAAAACAACTCTTGACCTTGCTTTTCTACACCCAAACTCAGTCATCTCTTTTCTTTTGTTGAGACAGAGCCTCACTGTGTAGTTCAGGCTGGCCAGGCTGGCCTCAGACTCGCAGTGATACACCTGCCTCAGTCTTCCAAACTCTGGAATTACAGGCATATACCACCATGCCCAGCTACCTAAATCATCTTTTTTTTTGGTACCAGGGATCGAACTCGGGACCTTGCACCTGTAAGGCAGGCAATGGAACCACCGAGCTAAATCCGCGGCCCTAAATCATCTTATTTTAACAGCGACCAGCTTCTGCACCATATGCTGTGCTCTTTTTCATTTTGCTATGGCAACTGTTTTGAACTTGCTTGTCAAAAAAAACCTTTATGCCAGTGTCTATCTCTCACTTCCTCCAAATTGTGGAGAATAACGTGAACAGGACTAAAGAAGAAACCATGAAAGTGTAGTTCCTAGTAGTAAGTAAACTTACGAAAGAAAACGTTCTTCCTATGCCATATTTTCAAATTGAGATACTCACCATGAAATCTCAGGCACTGCCAGGACTGAAATTGCCAAATTTAGGGTGATGCCTCACAAATCTGTATTTACAGCCTAGACCTGAGTCCTAAGTTACAAGCCAATACATTTGGCTACCCACTAGAGAGTTATGTTCACTTGGTTAACTCAAAATCCCTAAAAGTCGTCATTGGACTTTATTCATCTACTCAATGGCCAAAAAACGAACAAAAAAGCATCAAGAAATAATCCCAATTCTCCCTGGCCCTTTACTTCTGTATAAATTGTGTCAAATCAAGAGATTCTGTCACCTAAAAATCTTAAAGCTACCCACGTATTGGGCCAGAGATGTAGCTCAGTGTAGAGCACTTAGCATATGTAAGGCCCTGGGTTCCATCCACAGAACCACCAAAACCAAAAAACATAAAACGAAAACCTACCTGTGTCTCTCCATCCATTGCCACTATCTTCATTTAAATTCACTCTCATCCAAACTATGATAACAGTTCCTTTCCCTTCTCAAATCCTCCATTCAGTACCTAATTGAATTGCTTTATGTAAAACAGAATTCATCTGAACAACTCCAGACTTCTTTATTATTTGCTATCTCACTCTCAAGCTTCATCTCTCCTTTTTCTCCATATAATAAAATGTTTTGTGGTGGCTTTAATGCACCATGCTTTTTCTCATCTATGAGCTTTTGCAGATTATTTTGTCTGGAACATTTTTGTACCTGTGTGACCCACCTCATTTTTACAATTTCTTTCCTACTTATGCTCTATCTAACCAGATTAAATATCACTTCCTTTGGAAAAACCTTCCCTAAACCTCGCAATTAATATATTCAGCAGCAGGGCCGGGGATTTAGCTCAGTGGTTCTGCCACCTGCCTCACACACACAAGGTCCCGAGTTTGATCCCTGTGTACCAAAAGAAAATGTGGAGGACTATATTCAGCAGTCAACCTGTCTGTACTTCTTTGTCAAACATTTTGAAATTGTTTAATTGCCTGTCTTTCTTAGACTGTAAGCTACACAAAGGCAAGTACAGTGTCTGTTTTATTGACTATTATTTCTCCAGCTTCTGGAATAGTCAGTCTTTGCATATAGGAGGGGTGCAATAAATATCTGTTAAATGAATAAATAAGTGGATTCATCTAATAAATAAATTGGATTCACCAACCAACTTGCTTATTTCATTGCATCATCTTACATTTATGTACACTGTTGTGAGACTAGCAGGATGCATAATATCCCTTCATTTGATTATAACTAGCAAATGCCCAGTTTCCCATACCCACCAGCCTAAACCTCAAACACAAACACTCTCCAGAGATATTTCTGTTTCAGTTAGCCTTAGTGATATAACAAACCACTTCAGAGCTTAGCGACTGAAAGTAAAAATGATTTATCACAATTCTGCAGGTTGACAATTTGATGGTCCCATGACCTCACCTGGGACCACTTATGCAATTACAGTCATGGGTGTGATGGTTAAGGTTATATGTCAGTTTGGCTGGACCAGTGGCCACATATGTATGTGGCCAAACATTCTGGGGGTTTCTCTCAGGGTGTTTGGGGATAACACAGACATTTAAGTCAGAGGACATTGAGTAAAGCAGATTGCCCTCCATAAAGGGCTTCATCTAATCAATTGAAGACTTGAACATAACAAAACACAGACCCCTTAATAAGAAAGAATTTTGCCAGGCTTTAGGCCTTAAACTGCAGCTTCAGCTTTTTCTTGGGTCTCCAGCCTGCCAACCCATCTCACAGATTTTGAACTTGCCAGCTTCTATAATCTTGTGAGCCAGTTTCTTAAAAAGAAATCTGTGTATACACACACAACACATACACACCCCTCACCCCATTAGTTCCTCTGGAGAATCTGAATATAACTGGGGTTGGTTGGGTCTCAGATGGCCTCATTCACATGTCTGATAATTGGTAATTGGTGGGCCGGGGATTTAGCTCAGTGGCACCACACCTGCCTCATAAGCACAAGGTCCTGAGTTCAATCCCTGGTACTAAATAAATAAATAAAACAGCTTGATAATTGGTAATTGGTGCAGCTATTGACTGGGAAGCCTCGATTGTCCACATGGCCTCTCATTTCAGTAGTAAACTGGGCTTTTTCACAACATATCGACCTTCGAATTGTGAAAGGATAAGATTGAAAGCAGAAGACTAAGGCCTAGACTCCAAAATGTACACCATCATTCTGTTACATTCTGTCAAAGCAAGTCAAAAGACTGGCCCAGGTTCAGAAACATGACGACTTTATTTTCCTTGTTCATTTATCTTTGTAGTGCTTGGGATTAAACCCAGGGCCTTGTACACACTAGACAAGCAATATACCACTGATCCATACCTGTAGCCTAGACTCCATTTTTTTGAGACAAGGTCTCACTATGTAGTTCAAGCTGGCCTTGAACTCACTGTGTAGCCCAGGATGGCCTCAAATGCATGGCAATCTTCCTGCCTCAGCATCCCAAGTGCTGGGATTATAGACATGCACCATCACAGCTGGCTAGACATCATTTCTTGATGAGAAGAGTGACAATATCACATTACAAAGTGAAATGAGCTCAGGAAAGCAAGATTCATTACTCACGATTATTGTAATTTACAATAAGCCTTAGATTTTTAACCTTTTCGCCTTTGTGTAGCTTAAATCTGGAAAACCACATGATTCCAAAAAAGGAGGAAATAAAATTTAAAATTTAATTTAAATTTTTAAATTAAATTTTAAAATTTAGAATTTAAAGTAAAGCAATCATGAAGACTTCTGGGAAGATGGTGGAATGATGAACAACAGAAAAACAGCCTCTCGGAGAGATTTGGTGTCCAGACGCTGCACTAAACCAACATAAGGAAGACAGAAAGGAGGGAAGGGGGTCCTCGGACCAGCAATGATCTGAAGTGAGAATTGAGCACATGGGAAAGTGAGGAGAGAGACTTCAATGGAGAGGAAGGAGATGGCAAGGGGCACCTTCTCCCTCAGCCCTGACTCATTACGTGGGAAAGGCTGCTTGAACCTGCAGGTGCATAGTGACTGCTGCAACTCTAGAGGCTTCCATGGAGAGACACCAATGAAATGGAGGAGTGCATGCAGCTGACTGCAGTGGCTGATGAGTTGAGTTATTCAGATATCCCCCAAAATAGGGCGACTGGCCATTTATCATCTTGGAGAGGAGCTAACTGAGCTGGGAACTCAGAGCAGCTGTGGGCTGGCTCCATAAGAGTAAAGTAGAACCTAGTTCAAGTCAACAGGAGGTCAAGGAGCAGGGAGCTGAGTTCAAGCCTGCAGGAGGCACAGAGTGTTGCAGACTGAACAAATCATGTTCTAGTCTCACGCTAGAAACTAGCCTGAGCTTCAGAACTAAAGGTACAGGCTTGCTGGTATTATCCACCACCCCAGCCATAAATCTATGGCTGGCTTGTTGGGATTAATCAACACAGAAGTTTAGTGGACTTCTGGGAAGACGGCAAAGTGGTGAGCAGCAGAGAAAGAGAAATCTCTCCAAGATTTGCTGTCCTGGCCCTGGAATATAGAGGCGCAAGGAAGAAAAGAAGGAAGGAAGTGGGTCCCTGAGATCCAGGAAGGATCCGAGGCAAGAATTGAAGTTCACAGAGACAGTAAAAGAGAGGCTGTAATGACAAGGAGGGAGGTAGCAAGCAGACACTCAGTGAGGGAATGGTGGGCTGAACCTGCAGTTGCACAGTGACTACTGGTAACCCCAGAAGCCTCCACGGAGAAACACACCAGTGGAATGGACCAGTGGATGCACCTAACTGCAGCAGCTCATTAGTTAGCCAGGTTCAGATGTCACCCAAGAGAGGGTGATTGGCTAATAGCCATTTTGGAGAGGGCCACACAGAACTTAGAACTCAGAACAGCTGTGAGCCAACTCCATTTAGTGGCTCCCAGTGCCTCGGTGTGGGTGCTAAATTCAAGTCAGCAGGAGGTCAGGAACAGAGTTCAAGCCTGCAGGAAGTATATAGACCACTGTAGGCACAAGGAATCCAGTTCCAGCCTCATAGAGAGAAATTGGCCTGAACTCCAGAGGAACTAAGTAGCAGGCTGGCTGGGATTATCAACTACTTCACCATAAAGCTGTGGCTGGCTTGCTGGGATTAATTATTTTGGCTCTGGACTCTGCCTGCATTGCCTGCC